TATTTCTGTCTTATTTGGCATGCTTATTATTTTTCCTCTGTCCTCACTGGTGGGCAGTAACCCTTAGACAGATATTGAAAGGAAGAACTTTTAGTTAAAATTATTACTGTATGGCTTCACTTGATACTGTCATATTTTTATGTCTTATGCAAATAACACATATAAGCCTTCATTATTCCATATTAAAAACACAATGAATAATTTCTGGAAAAAGTATGGTAATTAGTGTGTGTTGATCAATTAAGGAAATCCATTTAAAGGAATATTGAAAATGCAATTAAGGAAATCCAGTTGATTTTAGCATAAGAGAGATAAATACTAGGGTGGATCAAAGTGACAGCACAACAGTGAACATTATGATCAAGTGTCTCTTTTTTTCAACTTTCAGATTTTGTGTGCTATGAACTGAATTGCTCCCCTCCCCGAATTTGCATGCTGCAACCCCAACCACCCACATGGGATGACATTTGGAAATAGATCTTTAGGAGATAATTCGGTTTAGGTGAGGTCATGAGGGTGGAGTCCTCATGATGAGAATTCTGCCCTTATAAAAAGAGACACCAGAACGCTTGCTTTGTCTTCAGAACTGTAAGATATAAATTCCTTTTGTTTAAGCCACACAGTCTATGGTATTTTGTTACGGCAGCCTGAGCTAACAGACACTGTGTATGTACTTTCTCAAGTGTTATATGGATTTAGAAGTTGTCAGAATTATTTTGCATATGTAATGGGCTGTACTTTTAATCTTCTAAATCATAAAATTATTTATATTAATCATTAATTTTTATAATCAATGATGCCCAAAGAGGCCTTAATTTCTTAGGCCCCGTTCACTTTCATTATCCGCATCAGCAATTTGTTATTTAGGACCATTTTGGAGGAATCCTCCCTCTTTAAAAATAAATTCTTTGCCACTTGTCAACACTTGCTGCCTATGTATCCAGTGGAGAAAGGTCTGCGAAGACGCAAATGCTGAGTGGTTGGTAGGCACCCTCACCAGAAATTGTTCACTCCAGGTAACCTCTTAGATCAACAGTCCTGACATAGTCACTTAGTATCACAGGCGTCTCACATTTAACATGTCCGATATTCTTGATCTGGCACTATCCCAAACTGCTCTTCCTCCAGTCTTCACCATGTCATTGAAGGGCAAATCCAAATTATCAGTAAACTCTGCTGGCTATACCTTAAAAAAGAATAATAATCTCACTACTTCTCACTATCTCAACTGCTATACCCTAGTAAGTCACTATCATCTCTAGATTACCAACAGATTGCTAACAGATCTTGTTTCTACACTAACCCCCTTCTGTCTATTGTCAACACAGCTGAAAGAAGGAGCCGTCCTAAATCGTATCATGTTCCACTTAGGTTCCAAACTCTTCAGTGGCTCTGTATCACACCCACAGTATAAAAGAAAGTGCTTACAACGGTCCGTAAAGCCCTGCATGATCGGCTCCAACGTCCCTGCTCTGCAACCACTCCTACTACTCTCCCTTTTGCTCAAACTATTCTGGGCTCACTGGCTTCCTTGCTATTCTTCAAATAGGTCAGGCAAGCTTTTGCTGTATGACCTTAAGTCTACTTTGTGGAAATCTCTTCCTATAGATATCTACAAAGTGTCTAACTCATTCATAAACTCTAAGTTTTTGCTCAAATCTTGCTTTTTCAATAAGGTTACCCAAGTACTCAATTTAGAGCTGGAACTTACTCTACAATCTCCCTACCCTTAACCTTGACTTAGGTATCCTTATTTTTCCATAGCATTTATCATCTTCTCATATGGTTTATAATTGACTTATTCATTATCTTTACTTACTATTGTCTGTTCTCCCTGCTAGAATGTAAGCTCCAGAAAAGCAAGGACATTCTTCCCCTCGTATTGATGTATGTTTTCCACATCTAAAGTGGTGTTACATCATATATGTTCAATATATAATTGTTGACTAAATGAATTATTCTATCTAAATGAAATTTCTTAGTGATTTAAAATAAATTCCATTAACGTTGATTTTCATTAGCTGGTATTTCTTATTTATTACATATATATGATTTATATGAGAAATGTAGGCTCTGGCTTTGTGACTTAAATTTGCTGAGGAGCTGTGACTCTTGTCTCTCCCTCACTTGTGTAGTGGAAAAGAGAAAATGAGGTGGTAACAGATAGGAAAAAGAACTGCAATTAATTTATTGTTTGTATTTTACCGGTAAATGTGCCAGTTAATTGAATATCTAAACTTATGATAAGACCAATGCCATCAAGGTTCAGAAGAAATTCCACAGTTAGACATAATCCTGTAAGGTTTATGGTCACCAGAAAGCATGTATCCTGTGTAACAGAAGTAATTAAATTGGCTAATCTTGGTCAAAACAATGCATTTCCTTGACTATTTCTCTAGTTATATTTTCCACTGCCATTTAAAAACTTTTAAAGACTTTTTTTGTTTTTTGGTGTGAATACTTTTATTATATTCTGAAATACAGTACTATGGTTGGGGGTGGAAAGGAAAGGGAACATAAAATATTTAAGAGACCACATTCTGCAGCTGAACTCTCAGCTTTGTTAGTCACTATGTGACTGCAGTTGTGGGTAAATGAAATACAATTCTCCACCTTACTTTTCACATCTGTGAAATGGGAATAATAGCATATACCAAATAGACTTGTTTTGAGCAAAAACACTTCACAACACACAGTGCCTGGTACACAGTATTCACTCTATAATTATTTTATCAGATAAAGAGGATTTTATTAAAATTAAATATTTAAAAAGCAATTTTTTATTATACATGATATTTTTGTAAAATACTATTGTTCATAGTATTAACTTGACTCATGGAGACAAATTAACATTACTATTATTAAAAAAATAACGCTACAGGCTTATTTGAATTTTTATACTAGAAAATTTATAATTTGAAACACTAGCTTTAGGGAGAGAGATGTTGTGTTGTTCGAAGTCCTCCTCTGCATCTTCATGGTAGGAACTTTCTTTGGTAACCCTTTTTCTAAGTTAAGAATCGGGAACTGTGAAGGATCTGATATTTTACCCTATTCGTAAACAAACAAGTAGAGTGCCACAGTTTCATGGAAGTTGGCAGAATGCATTAGATTCCTGAGTCAGATACAAAGAACTTTATTACTCCAAGGACAATAGGCAGCATGAGCTTCATACTTCCATAGATTCCTTTCATTCCAAAATCCCACGGGGTGAAGAGGAGCTGCTAGATGGGGGCTGTACATGTTTTGGGTTTGTTATCCAACTGGAAGAACTCCATGCTTAGGAAAGTCCTAAGAAGGCTGCTAGCAAACCTACCCAAACTTTGCGCTGGCAGGAAATATTATCTTTGAAATTAAATGTGCAGAAAGACAAGAAACCCATGGGTACTTAACTCCCAACTACATAAATGCAGTTGCATCAATAAGGCTATTTTCATGAAAAGATGCACACAAATTTTGACCAGAGTTAGACTAATATTGTAAATGCAAACACTCAATCCCTTCTAAGCATTTCTTTGAATATGTAGTTAATCACTTGGAATAAAATTTTGCAACGCTTTGTTCTTTCTGTGCTTGCTCACTTGATACCTTCATAAGCCATGCCTTTTTTTTTGCCTCTTATCAAGTAGGTTTTACTCTTCCCGTCTATATATTTATGCCAATAATTTAACTTTAGTGGCTTAAGTATTTCTTACAATATTGAAGAAACTTACACTTTCCCAAGAGTGGCTTCCACATCAGCAATCTTCCTTTCTCTCTGCCTTTTCCTCTGAGAACAGTTTCACAAGGTCTAACATCCTCCTCTGTAGCATAGCAAACCTACCCAAACTTTGCCCTGGCAGGAAATAGTATATTTGAAATTAAATGTGCAGAAAGGCAAGAAATTCATGGGGACTTAACTCCCAACTACACAAATGCAGTTGCATCAATAAGGCCATTTTCTATTTTTCAAATAGATACTTAGCTCTGCAAGGTTGATTTCCTTTGTGAGCAGTTAACACTTTTTTTTTAACAGCCTTATTTTTAAGAAACATGTTAGCCCTTCTCTTGTTCTTCAGAGATAACTCAAAATAATATCATTTGATCTTTTTATTTGGTTGGTTTTATTTCTACAGCTTCCCTGTCCTTTTAAAGTCAGAGCTACAAAATTCATTTGAGCTCCAGAGATAAATCAGACTTGTCCATTGCTATTACTTAATAAGTCAAAGTAATTGAACATTTAACAAGAGTTTGCCCAAAGGTTGATTGAGATTATGTGCCGGACACCTTCTACATTATCAGTGTATAAACAGCAAATAACTTTTTAGTATATATTCATGTCCTGTGCAATATTTGGGACATCTTTACACTAAAAAAAAAAAAAAAAAAAAAAAAAAAAAAAAAAAAAATTGGAAATAAAATTCAACTAGATATGGTTTTTGTTTTTGTTTTTGTTTTTGTTTTTTATTTGCCAAATCTCACAATTCAGGTCACCATTTATCTACTAAACAAAATCGATAACTTGTTCATACAATGTGGCCTCAAGTGGGTTTTGGCACAGAAGCACTCCTCTGAGAGCACGGGTGTGGTACTGGTTGCAAAGTTTTGATGTGACATCAACACTACAAAAGTAAATGTAACTGCAAACTTTGAAATTCACAGATGGGGCTTTGAAGTCCAGCTCAAAAGAGTGGAGGAATGGGTTTAAATAAGTCACAGACTTGCCGGTTTGGGGTTTCCAGAAAGAAAAGTAACTTGAGCAGCTGAAAGCTTGGAGACCTTTCCAAAGAGAATGGGAAGTTAACAAAAGGCTTCTTCGCGAGTTAGAAGGAGAGAGCGCGAGAACCTGAGCGAGCCAATAAGCAGGGACTGGCTGGCCTCCCGGCGGGTGTAGCCAATCAGGGCAGAGATGGGTGAGGCTAGGCTGAGGGAAGGGGCGGACTACAGCAGAGTTGGCTCCGAAGTGCGGGACTCAGCCAATCGGAACCGGGCGGGGTGGGGCTGGACTGCGGTAGGGGGCGGGTTCGGAGGAGTGAACTGTGCCGTTAGTGCGTCTTTCAGCCTCACCTGCAGCTGCAACTCCCTGCACCTGCACCTTTGCTTTCCTCCCTGCACAGCGACGCTGACTCGGAGTGTGACGCTCGCTGCGCTCCTCATGGCCTACCCGGGATACGGAGGAGAGGTGAGTCCCAGCCGCTTGGCCGTGCCTCTCTCCCTCGCGGGATGTGGCGCCCCCGGGGGCGGTGCCAGCGTGCGGGTACGCCCGCGGCTCCTGCTCCCTGCGTCCGTGCCTGGTACTCAGCAGCGCCGGTACTCAGGGGATGTTGGGAACCAGGGTCGGGGCGGGCGTTGACCCTGGGGTGACTTGGAGCTCAGGCGTTCTTGAGGTCCCTCGAGGAGCATCCTGGTGGAGCCGAGGGAGTAATGTGTATTTGGAAATTTATTTCCTGGAATGGAGGAACAAGCCGCCCTCTTTTTGTTCCAGTAACCTTTTGTGGTCCATCAGTCCCCCGCCCCTCACTCGGTGTTGCTAGAGATCCTCTTTCTGAATTTCTTAACCACTTCTTGTTCTTTAAGTTCCTTATGAATAAATTAAGGTGTATGGTAAATGACACCTAATCTTTACTGTTATTCGAAGGGCAATCTGTTCAGACTTTCTCCCTCGACCCCAGGCAGGGGCAAGTTGACTTACAACTTTCTTTCAACTTTTATCCTACATCACCTTTGGGAGTTGCAAGTTGTAATCCTAGTGTCCTGGTAGCTACCCACTTATTTTCAGAAAGGAACCCAAACCTTTAATATTGATGTCAGTGATCTCCAAAGTGCAGTGAGCGAGCTGTGTTAACAAAGTTAACATTAGTTTGATCCACTGCGGTGTGGGTAGAAGATAATATATTTTCTATTTTTATTATATTTGTTTTTTTACCTAGAAACAGAAATTGTGTTTTACTGATTTTTAACATAGGACTTGACTTAGGGCTATGGTTGTGGTCTTCAAAAGAGTTACTCCTACCCCTGGGAGTTCATGGTTTTTGTTGTTGTTTTAGGGTATGAATTTCCAGGTCCTCAACTTTCACATGTATTCGTTCCTAAAATTGATTTGCTTGAAATTCAGACTTGCCTCAATTCCCTCTGGCACCTTCCATTGTCATGCCTACCCCTCCTCATTCCTTAAATTTAGTAAGGAAGTTTAAAGTGCCTAAGGGAATGTAAAACCCCCTTCAAAGATTAGTCAAGATAGCATAAACCTGTAGGGTTTTTAAAATGTCCCTAGCTTATACTTATTTTCATTTGGTTGAAGCTATCTGTTAGAAGTGTGATATATTTACATTTGTTGGTGTGCTCTGAATTCATATATATATATGATAAAGTGATGTGGCAAGAATAATACATTTTCATTCAAATAATTTGCTGCTTCCTTATTCAACTTTTGTCAGAGGGCTTGAACTTTATGGAGAGTTCCACAACATAATAATAAAAAAAAAAAGTCTGTATATGTTTTGAGCATTTAAATTCCCTTTTCCATGTATTTGAAATAAACAGCTATTTTCAGCTGTTATGCTCAATATTAATAGCTGGAAAGAGAAGCAATATAGATTAGAGGCACTGATTTAAAAAAATGTAATTGAAATATTTTAAGATACATTGGATAAAATTTGGGGATAAAACTTACATAATTTCTTTAATAGGAGTATATTAATAAGAGAGTTGAGACTTATAAATCATGGTAAATAAAGGCAACCTATACTTTATTAATATTTCTTATATTCTTTTAACAAAATGTAAAATGTTAGCTGCTGGACCTAATTGTTTTGATAGTATACTTTTATCTAATTAAGTGCATGATTTATGTCTGTAGGAGATGCATTTCCAATAGATAATTTACTTTTTTCTTTTGAGTATTGTTTATCAAAATTGTAATTTTTTAAACTAATTGTATACTAATAAAAATTATAACTCAATTGTAAAGGACATTTTTTTTTTTCTTTTTCTTCATTGCTCATTTTGGTCACAGGAAATGAAACAAAATCTAAAACTTTGTTACATGTTTTTATTGTACATGTTGTATTATACAGGCTTCAGAGTTTTCAATAATAAAAGCACAATTTAAGCACAAAAACTTACACAGATTAGATTTTCACACAAGAAATAGCAAAAAAAAAAATTCAAAAAGTAAAACATAAAACTTGTAAATTTTATGTAATAGCCTTTTTAGGTCTGTTTAAAAATGGAGGGAGCAAGTACCAGACTATCATAGTGTATAGATGACACTGTGTGTGTGTGTGTATTGTATACTCTATTATAGTGTGTATTACTATATATGGTACTGTGTATGTGTGTTATACTATTTTACATTATATATACACTATTATATATATGCTTATACATACACTATTATGTAGTAATACATACTGTTTATATTTACACACTATTATATAATATACACACTAAGTTGCTTATGAATAATATATTAAGTAATACGTTAAGTATTATATAGTAATATACACTGTAGTAGTCTGTGTGTATACATATTTTGTATTATATATAATACATACTATGGTGTACACACTATAAAATACACAATATTATATATAGTAATACATACTATAATAGTGTGCATATATATATATATACACATATAAAAGTATGTACTTTCCAAAGAGTGATGTAAAATTTTTTAAATGTCAAGATTTACAATATGTTGGTCATCGTATTCTTTACAACTATTTAAACTTAAAAACTTTATATGTCAATATAAAATATGGGAAAAGGGTATATAGTTTTTCAAAAATCTTTTAAGGGGAGGGAAGCAAAATGTTTAAAGAAACTTCTTTGGTTCTGATAATGTCCTGAGGGATGAGATCGAGTTTTGTATGCTGGCCTCTCACTTGTTTCTTTTCAGCTGATTGTGACTTATTACAGTTAATATATGTGGGATTCTCTCAAGTTATAGATTATGTGATCTACTTTTAACTGAAGCCATCACAAAATAGAAATAGTAAAGATTCAAAAGCATGCAAAACAACACGAAAGGCTTGGACATGAAAATATTGTCTAAGCCTTTCTTTAATCACATTACCTATTAGTAATAATAATGATCAATTTTGACTAATTTGAAACTATTAAGAGGACAACTTGAAATACAAATTTATGTAAACCATGTTTAGGGATGAACCTTGTTGGCCAGGGCCCCAGTTCTCCTCCATATGGGCCCTTTCACATGGCTCTTCCACTTCTTCATAGCATGGCAGTCAGGTTCTAAGAGAGAGAACAGAAGCTGCCAGTCCTCTTAAAATCTTAAATCTGAAACCGCCATGATGCCTTTTGTACTGTTTTCTACCAGATAAGGCTGAAACAGGCCCAGCCTGTATTGAAGGAAGTGGAGAAATAGTTTGTGCTTTGGACAAGGGGAGTGGCAAAGAATTTGTAATCGTCATTAATCTGACCACCAGGTGCTCAAATTATGGGATTTGGGAAAGTTAATGTTGCAAATTGGGAAGGGAAACTAGATTAAAGGTTATTCCTAAGGACAGATTCTTCATACAATACTGCTTGCCTGACTTTGGTTAAGAAAACAAGTTGTGTTTGTCCTTCACAAATGGAGATGCTGCAGTTAAGGGTCCATAGCCACTCTTGTGGCACCATCTCTGCATTAGCTCTTCACCAATGTAATTGTACTTTGTTTGTCTTCTCTTTTCAAGAAAACGTTTTTCAGTTTTTGTTCCTTTTGCAAAGCTTAAAATAAGGAGGGTCACCAATAAACCTTACATTTAAATTCTAGGATATAGGCTAGGACTTCATTGTCCTCCATGTCCCTGGAGGTCTTAAAACCAAAGCCCAGGTATCTGTTACTGCCACATGTTCTCAGAGTAAAAGCTGTTTTGGGAATTTTGCTAATTTTTTACCTGTGGGTTTAGCTTTATCCCCAGATATTGGCCTGGAAGTTTCCTCTTATCAGTACTCTTGAGAAGATGTTAAAATAATGCTTAATGAAACTGTTTGTTTTCAGTATTAGGGTGGTTCAAATTAGCTTGCCATTATTAAAAGTAGGAAGGTTTTTTTTTTCTCTTGAGTCAATGTTAGTAATTTAGGTACTTTTATAAGTTCCTTTTCATCTATATTTATCCCAATTTCAAATACTTTGGTATAAAGATATTCATAACATTTGTTTATATATATCATATACTTATGTACAGATGTATTAAATATATATTTCTTTCAAATTCTATTTGTGATTATATATCCTTTTTTTATTTCTGTAATTGGCCTGTTCTTTCCTGGTCAGTCTCTTTTCTTCTTTTCAAAGAGTTATTTTTGATTTTTAATATATTCTGTTTTAATGTTTACTGTTTTTTTTCTTTCTCAGACCTCATTGCTTCATAATCTAGATTTTGACCACCTCTCCAAACACATTTCTTAGAGCTCCAATACTTCCTCCATTAACTCGCCCTCACTTCTCTTTTTGCAGCTGTTCAAACTACTTGTGAATAATCTTGATATCACTTCCTCCTAAAAATGCTAAGTAAAATGCCTTTTTAAGGTATTAAAAATGTATACCATTTCCCAAAGTGAAAAGAAATGAAGAGAGCCATAGCAGTAAATAAGTAACTGTGTAGCTTCCAGGGTCAGATTGTCCATATATATTTGATTACACTTGAGCTCCAGGAGGAGGTTGAGGCTGCAGTAATCTCTGATTGTGCCACTGTATTCTAGCCTGGGCAACAGAATAATGCTTAGTATATAAAATCGCTTAATAAATATTAGTTGCTTATTGTTATTGATATTCTTGTTTATTATTCATTTTGAAGAGGATAATGATTATACCTAGTCTGTGGTTGGAATTATTATTTTATTAATCTTTTCTTTGTCATCTTGCTTTTTAAGAAAGTTTTCTGGTGGAAGTCGTGTTTCAGCTCAGAGCGTTTTCCCATTAGGTCACAATTTCATTGTATTTACCCATGTATTCTTTTAAGTATGTGCCTTAAGGTGTACTTCTTAGTTTTACTTTAGGTAAAATCTTGCATTTCTTTTTTTTTTTCTTCTTCTTTTTGTTTACTTCGGGGATGATAGTAAACATTTTTAAAAATTGTGCCTCATGTTCTTCTGTTGAATTAGGTTCTTAAAGGCTAGTAACTTTCTTTTTTCTTTTACACTTATTTTAATACTGGGTAATATAAGTTAATGAATTGAATTATGTCTTAATGTAGGACATCTAGCACTTTGTAGTTAAAGTTTTTGTGATAGATAGTTAAGATTAGAAGCTTTTGGAAACTGTGTTTACTTTTTGATGTCCTTCTGATGATTTCTTTTAATCCACTTTTATAGATAATAGGTAATATTTGTATTACCAACCTTCTCCCCTTTCACTCTTATAGTTTGGAAATTTTAACAGTCAGATGCCAGGAGCAGGTCCAGATGTGATCCTTGGTGGATACTCTGGGTACCCAGCATATTCAGACCCTTATTCCTCAGCTGATGACACCATGTATGCTTACTTCAGTGCTGTTGCTGGACAGGTGAGATGCTAAATTTATTGCATGTTTTAAAAAATTATTATTTAAGAGAAATGTCAACTGTTTTACTTAGGGTATCATTTAAAATGATATGAATTTTATATTTTAAATTTATCTAGACTAATTTTTTTCCTGAGATCAGAGATAAGCATAGTCATAATTATTTCATTTTAAAAGTCTATAGATGTGATGCTTGACATACTGTTCATTTGACTAAAAGAGAAAACATTTTTTTTTCCTAGTGGGGAAATGCGATTCTTTCTTACCTAGTATGCTTGCCTTACTGAAATTCTTCTGCAAGGGGCTCCTCTTATTAAGTCACTAACACTACCAAAACGTATATATTAATACCCTCTTATGAGTTACCATTTTTCTATCACTTAAATATTTTTATTTCTTTCAGTCTGACATTTAGAAGCATCATACTCTCCCTGGGCGATTGATAACACAAAGCTAAGTAGGTTTAGCCTGTCTATTCTTTTATAGCATGCAAAAATGAGTATTGGAAATTTGAGGAAGGTAGAAACTACTTAGAACAGTTACAAGGAGCAATATTTCTATCTTGGGCCTCACTCCTATTTAAAAAAAAAAATCTCAGTTAAAACCTAAGTATGTCAAACAATATGATTGAAAATCATGTCAGAATGTTATAAATTTATTCAAGTTGGTAATTACATTTTTCACAGGTGAAGTTATGTCATTTACAGTAAGTAATCTTGTTTGTTTGTATATGGGTGGTAGATTTTCCAGATTACCAAAATAATCATGTTGGGATTTATTTTTATCTATTAAAAATTAAAGTAAATAGTTTATTATGTTATGTTGTGGTATGGTATTAGGGTACTATTAGTTTCCAGTAAATCTGAGTGATTATTTAAAAGGCTGACTTTCTGATGCCCAATAGTCAATAGGGAAGGGTGAGCCTGCCAATTCAAGTACATTAGTTCTGTGGGTGAATTGTAATTGACGATCTGTGTATACTGTGGTCAGGTGAAGCTTTTCTTCTACTTCTACATACCTGTGACACTATGCCACAATTTATTCTTTTTTAAGTAATTTTATATGTATTTTTCATGTGAAATTTCAAGGAAAATTAAGCAAATATGATATGTATTAAACCCCTTTGTATCACTTATTAGTTGTATTTGACAGAAGTGTTGAGTAAATATTCACAATTGGAAGGAATGCAATATTAAAAAATTCGAATTTCTTCCAAATTAATAAATAATGTAATATTATTTGAGTCAAATTTCTAAAGGTTTCTTCTTTTTTTTTGGCACTTTCTGCAATGAATCTATAGTCTGTCTTGTATGCTATGTTATTGAGAATATTAAATTATAGTATATCATAATATAAATGTATTATAAAAATTAATAATAGTGATAGTGTGGTCCTAATGTAAAAACAAACATGCTGAAGAGCCTAGAAGCTTAACTGTGAAGTCAGTATATGGTAAAGGTAGCATTTCATATCGATGGGGAAAGAATCATTCCTGAATTAACTATCCTCAAATAATTAACAATTTACCTAAAAGTAGATGTGTGTCCTCATCCCATACCGTGTAGTAGCATTAATTCCAGATATATCAAAGGATTGAAAAGAAGGTATATTGGTGTTTATCTCCTATTGTTGAAATAAATGAACTTTTCTTTTTTTGCTGCTTTACTGTGTATTGCAGTACCTGCTATATTTGTGTTTTTGTTTATTTGTGTTTTTGTATACAAAGCTTCTTAGAAGAGTGATTAACTAAGATAGTTCTATGTGTTAATGAAATATTTGGGAGCATTGTCTTTTTAAGATGTGCCTTTTTTTTTCTTGGTGTGTTTCATTTACTTGTTTAACAATTTTGGTGGAATATTGAAAGTTTTTCTGGGTTTATGGGATACAATAGATTGGTGTATGGAGACTGTGGGCCAGAGAGGATTTGGAAAAAGAGATTTATATGAAAATCATCTTGAGGTAGTTGGGGCAATGTATCAGAGAGGAGATTTGTAAAGTGTGGATGATTCTGGGACAGGCTTTATGGTGAAACAGATTAGGAAAAGGTAAAGAAACTGGCAGAATGAGGTTCCAACACTAGACTAATGGGCAGAGACAGAATTTCACTCTTGAGTCTTAGCTCTTTTCTTTTATAATGGTCAAGAAGGATTTATTGACATAGGTAGAATTTTATAGAACATTAATAACATGTTCACTAGGTCTAATATGCTATTCTAGGAATAGACAATATGCACAGAATTAATATATATGGCAGACATTGTTTTTTGGCTATCCCAGCTTCATTTACAACCTCCTTTTGCCTTTTTTTTCTGTATTAGAGGCTGGGGAACTATATTACTCACCATCCCAGAAAACTTTGTAGCTACTAAAGGCAGCCATGTGTCATAGGACTGACTATTGACAAGCAGGTGCAGTATCTTTGGAAAATCTTTCTATCTCAAATGAAAAAAGCCTTACTAAGAGCAAGCTTTGGTTGTTTTTGCCCCTTCATTATGGAGGTACAGCCGCCATCTTGTGACCCTGAGACACAGGCTTGAGATAAAGACCGGTACATAGGGAATGTGGAAAAATGTAGAGATTGTTGACATGTCTAAGTTGGCATACAGCCCTGTTCTGTCTAGACTGAGATTTATTGTATGAAACAATAAACCCCTATTGGTTAAACATCTTTAGTAATATTTTCTGCTGTTTGCAGCTAAATGGGACCCTAACTGTTATATTCATTATATCATTGTCATTTTAAAGGATTATACTGGGAATAAGTACTATTATACTGGGAAAAATCTATTATCTCTGTTTCACTATATAATACATTCATATAAAATCACAACTTAAAGTTTATAAACTGGGCATATATTTGGAGACTTTTTGACTTTTTCTAAACTATTTCATCATTTTAATTGTCAGCAATAAGTTTGTTATGTTTGAACTATTTGATACTTTCCTTAAATTTTCCAGTCTTGTGCTTTTGAATAAATAAACTTCATGAAGACAGGGTTCTGGTCATATTTTCCCTTACTTGACAGATAGGTACTAGGAATTCAGAGATAGTCGATAAATATTTTGAATGGATGCATTTTCAATTTTTAGTCTAAATATTTAGACTGTATCTTTCACATGCTGAATTCTATCTAGCCTTGAGGGATTAGGTGTAATATCTAACTTACGTATACTGCTCCCAGAATCCAGCTACTGAACTCATATCTATTGCCATATCCTTTTTGGATGCCTCATATAATTAATTATGCTCTATGAAAAACATATGATTAAAGGTTTCTGCAGTGTTCTTATTTGTAGGATGAAGTATTCCAAACAGGAAGAGTTCAATCATCAGTTAATTTGGGGAAATTCCGGTTTTGTTTTTATACCTACATACACGGGCATTACAATAATACCAACAACTTCAACTTTTGTATGCACACTGCTTCTGCTTTTCCACATGGCAACTGTGATGTGGACATGACACATGTACCTTTATATTATAGATAAGTAAGTGGAGACTCAAATTGAGAAACTGAACAAATAGGACTTGAAGTTGGATATTATTTTAAAATCTTGCTGCCTAACCAAGGGCAATTGATTTTTATTGATTATCTACCTGATGCTCTTGTAATTTACTTAGGAAATTCAGCCTTCTATTACTAATGCTACCTAATTCAGTTAAAGGTTTATGTAGTTAACCTGATCATCAGCTTCTACTATAGGAGAAGAAATTCAAAAGTATCGCTTGGATTTTATACATGTAGTTTAGGAAGACATTGCTTATTTGTGAGTTAGTCATTAAGAAAACATGTTTTCATAACATCTATGAAGTATATACTAGCAGAATGCTTTTTGATGGCAATGACTAACTTCCAGCAAAGCTGTTCTGGTTGTTTTCCCAACTCCAAAAATTCTGAAAAGAGTTCCATTCATTGTACCAAATTTTAAATGTAATTCACATTTGAGTGAGAAATTCCAATCTTTTTAACCTTCTGAAATAGTAAATGAACATGGTCACAAACAGTCAGATCTCTATGTACTCAGGGAGATACAGACACATAGAAAACGATAACAATATGGGGAAAGATGTACTAAAGGTGAACAGGTGAAGATGATTACAACACCAGGAATTTTTACTTGGTCTCTTTGCCGAGAACAGCACTGCCCAAAGTAAATATAACACAAACCACAAATGTAAAGTGCATATATAATGGCTCACAACATATTTCAAAAAAGTAAAAAGAAATAGATGAAATGAATTTTGATATTTTATTTAACCCATTATATAAAAATCCTAACATTTCAACATTTAATCAACATAAAAATTATCAATTACATTTTACATTTTTGTTACTAAATATATGAAATCTAGTATTTTATATGCACAGAACACTGTAATTCAGACTAGCCACATTTCAAATGCTCAGTGGAACACAGGGCTAATGCCACTGTATAGAATAGCAGGAGCATAGAACACTTTTCTCTCAGGTGTCTGCATAGCTTGCTCCTGCACTGCCAAAAAGGCCTTCAAACATCTATTAATTAGAGGAAACATTTTCTAAACTGTCCCCCAATCTAAAAATATGCCTGATTCTTTAAAGGTAATTTTCTAACTACAGAATTTCAAATATAGTAAGCAAGCTTCCCAGAAAAAGACAAAGAAAGGAACACTTAGATACTCTTGACTAGGGAATACCATACATGTGGTCGATTGAGAAGAATGCTGCTTAGTATTTTGTAATTCCTGTTAGAACAACTGCGTTTTAAAAAGGGATTCTTTTGCTGAAGATCCATTAGAATATCAGTGTTTATAATATTTCTTAGAAATAGTTTGTAAAAGTTTTTTGTTGTTGTTGTTTCTTGGGTATCTTATGAAGAGTATGTTTTAAATTTGCCTCCTTGATCCTTCATTATGGCCAATGTTTTAAATTTTTACTAATGTATATAATGGTCCCAAAGGAATTACTTATTTTAGTCAAAAACAGGATGAGATACTGAATCATAATGAGAACACTCAACCTATTTCATTTCCATTGTGATTTCTTGTTTGCATTTTAAAAATTTGTTTTCTGTAATAAGTTCAGGCAAGACATGTTTGGACAGTAATCAGAAGAATAGCAGCAGAATACAGAGGGACTCTAGAATTTTGCTAGGGTAGTGGTGGGAGAAAAAAATATTTTCCCTTTCCAGTCAAAGCTTCAGTGTTATTTATAAATAATCTCCTTCCAAAACAGCATGAGTGGGGATGTTTTCGAGACTTTGCTGAACACATTTTAGGCATTTTTCTAACTGTTTTAAATAGAAGTATGATGACTCTCATAAGATTATCTTGAACCATTATAGGACAGGGTAATTGTGCTATTTTTGAGAAGTAGAAGAAATTATTTATGTTGTATGATATTTTGTAATATGCCTCTGTTGCCAGTAATTGTCTCTAGAATTTTGTAGTTAATTATAATGTTTCAAAGAATGCATATGTCTTGATTGGCCTAGAATAGTCAATTAATGTTTTAATATGCTTTTATACAACTGCACATTAAATTAGGTCATAATTATTTTTAAACAGGATGGTGAAGTGGATGCTGATGAACTTCAGAGATGTTTGACACAGTCTGGAATTAACGGCACTTATTCTCGTGAGATCTTTTTTCCACTCTTGTTGAAATTGTAATAGGAAATTTATTTTCTTACTTTTTTGTTTCTGTAATTAAAATGTTTAAAAAATTACCACAATTATACATGAACATAGTTTAAAGAATCAAATAACTGTAAAACTTGTTATAAAAATAACTGTTCATTGTGCATTCCTGTCTCCTCAACACTAACTGCTCGTAGAGGAGACTTCTTTTAGCTTAAAAAAAACCCTGATTCTTTTGAAATTTGCTTCCAGATTTCAAGATAACATTTTTTTTTCACGATTGAGTTTCAGTTTTTATGATTGTCAGTTGATATCCTGCTATGGAAGATGAGGATTTCACTTTATTTCCACTGTAAACTCTCCCGTCTCTGTACCCCACACTGGAACCTTTCCCATCCTCCTGTCCTTCCAGTGTCATTATATATATAATAATTTCGGTTAGGTACATTAGTCTTTACCTTATTTATACTATCTGAATGCTGCTTATATCTGTGTCTTATTATCATAAGTAATGTATAATTACTTTCATGTATAATTATTTTTCCTTTTTATATAATATTTTGCTTTTCTTGAAATCAGTTGTTGTTGGGCATTCTTTCTTTTTCATCATCCTAGAACTCTGGGACATGCTGTCTTTTATGCATAGCTGTCATGCTGGGATTCTTTCACCATCATTTTGGAGCTGGTTTCCCCATTTCTTTTGAGTTGAATGTCCATTTTACTCCATCTCTTGTCCTCTTTTTAAAAATTCATTGTTTTAGTGAAATATATAGTTAAGTAGCTTGTTAATAAAAGAATACATGGGAGGTAAATTGTTGAGAGCTTATGTATCTAAAAATGCTTTCATTCTACCTTCAGAATTGATTGTCTGGGCAGGTATAGAATTCTAAGTTACAAATGATTCCCATGCAGAATTTTAAAGGTATTACTTCATTGTTTCTAGTGTTCCTGTTGCTTTATCTTTCTCTTTCCTGCCTGGATGTGATGTGATTTGTTATTCCTCTCTAGAAACTTGTGAGATCTTTGTTTTTAGTATTCTGCAACTTGACAGTGAAGTGCCTAGTTGTGTTGTGTGGGGAACTTAGAGGGTATTTTCAACCTGGCAACTCCTTTGCTTTAGTTGTAGGACATTTTCTTCAATGATGTTTTATGTTTCTGGAATGCTTTTTGTTTTGACTAGGACTTCTACTTTTGTCATCTTTTCCCTCCTTTTTTTTTTTCTGAACTTTTTGGGAAATTTCCTCAGCTTTGTTTCCTAAACCTTCTATTGAGTCTTTCATTTTTGCTTTTCATTAAAATCCAAGAGCTTCTGTTTTATTTTCATGAATGTGATGTTATCTCTTATCTCTCTGAGGTTATTAATATATTTTTAAAGTTACTTCTTTCTATATAACCTTTTTTTTTTTCCAAGTCGTTTTTCCCCTCACTTTGTTTGTTTTGGTTGTCTTTCATGTTGAATGCTTTTCTCAGTTATCTGATAATACTGCCTTGCTCGTATTTTAACGAAAACATTGATTAGAACCAGAGATCATGGTTGGGTGTTGATAGTGGGCTTCAGTGTATGGTGGTTTGGCTGGGCAGTTTTGTCTGGGAACTCTGGGTGTCAGTATGTTTAGGGATTCCCTTTTGGGCTGGGTTTTCTGTTGGCCTTCTACCTGGAAAGGAGAGGTGGACTCAGAAGGGTTCTCAAGCCTTTTGTAGATTGTCCCTTAATTGCTTTGGTTTTAGAAGATAGCCTTGTCTCAGCTCTGGTATCATGCAATTCAGAGACCTCTCCAGAGAATAACATTCCAGACTTCTGCTGGATTGGAAGTAGGTGTAGCTCCATACAACTGAACTGAGGCAGGAAGGGGGTATGAGGTTTTGAATGCTCCTTAGGTAGACATTCAGCCAATTCTTCTGTTTTTATCTCTACTTTCACACCCACTTTCAGAAGTACTGCCAATTCTTAGACATTTGGGGTCTTCTCCAAGGGTTGCTTCTCAGCTTTTCTCCTTACAAGTTCAGGAATCCACGTTTTCAGATCTAGGTTGGCTAACTCACATCCATCAACTCTTCAACTTGCAAAATTTTGTTCCTTTATGTCTTGACTAATTCTCTTTTTCTCTTAAGTTTTATGCCTTAAAAAAAATCAGTTTACTGTCCATTCTGTTGGGCTGTGGGAGGAAGTGAAAAATCTGTCATATTTCCTAAAAAGTCTCTCTCCTCACTGTTTGTCCAAAATATTTCTTCTTATACATACACATACCTATTCTGAGAGTGAAGATCTGCTTATTTGCTGATTCAGTTTTAGCCATCTATTACCATTAATTCAGATTCTCTCACTTTATGAATGTGTGCCAAGTTAATCATAAAGGAAAATAGATATTATTTACTTGTCCAAAAGAGGAATGCCATTCCAGAAATTTCTCACATAATCTCCTCAGTCTGATAGTTTTATAGACTTAGCTTTATAAGTTTGGGAAATTAATTTTCTGGGTCCCAGTTACTTCCTTTTCAAAACTGGAACTTTTATATGTTTAGCATGTTTATGTGAAGTCATGTAACACATACCACCTTACTCATAATAAGAGCACATTGAGTACCTATTGAGTTGTCAATTTGAAAATATTACAACCAACAATTTTAACATTGATAGCATTTTAAACATTTAAAGAAAATCAGTGATTTTAACTTTGGAGTGTTTTATAATTTTTTCTTTAGTGGGTCTAAAATTTAGCTGAAATAATTTTCTTTATAAAATGTTAAAATGCTATGAATAAAATAAAATAATTTTGAAAATTTTTATTTATTCAGTCACATTAACAAGCTGCTAGTAAACACTTGGTAAGTTTAAACTGTAATAACATGATATTTTCTTTATCAGGACTAGGAAATTAGTCTTGGGATAAGTCAGCATACTAGTTGAATGTAATTGTGAAAAGGATTAGAAAAACTGAATTTTATCTATAGGTCATCAGTTGTAGTTCTATAAATACGAAAGTGTTAATACTTCAAATCACCTTGGTTTTAAGATAGCTTGTATTGATTTCTTCTTCCTTTTTTCTCTTCCTAACCTCAGAGAAAAACCAGTTGCTTCTATTCAGATGCTCATTTTTTCTTACTTGGTCTATTGCAATAAACTACCAAAGGACTTAACCTATTTCCAGCATCATCTCACTTTATAGTTTATTCATTGTAAACTAAAGTTTCTAAAATGGAAATTTTAGAATTTCCCTTCTGCTTCTGAAAACACTTCAGTGGCTTTTATTGGCTCAAACTTTTTGCAGTAGTATTCAAAAGATTCATGATTTGGCCCTCATTTGCCTTTCTGATGTCATCTTATGTCACTCTCTCCCATGTACTCTGACTCAAGTTTTGTGATCTCTGAGTACATGCCAACTTCTACTTAAACTCCATTTGTTATTTGTGTTGTGAAGACTGGAAGCCTTCCTTTTCCTCCGGCCTGGGTGAAGCCAAATGCTTTACGGAATCTCTGTCACAGTAATTTTCAGTTAGTTTATAATTGCTCATTTAATTGTCTTAGTCCCCTCACTAGATATGAGTACTTCGGAGACAGTAATTTTTTTTTTAAACAAAGAGTGCTTAACATTCAATAAAAGCTTGCTGATTATGGCAATTTTATATATTTTGGCAGTTTTTAAATGTTTTATTTTGGAACTAGAGATTGTCATAATTGTACAAAGATAAAGTTGGGCATACTCTAATTTAAATATTGAATATGTTTTACAGCCTTCAGTTTGGAAACCTGTAGAATTATGATTGCCATGTTGGATGTATCCTTGAATAGAAATAGAAAATAGAAAATACTAAAGAGTAATTGCTTCCTGAATATTAAACCAGTTGTTAGATTTCAGTGCCCATAGTAAACTAGTGAACTTAAAAATACTTTGTAAGATCCTGATTAAATTCCAGATTTTTTAGTTTTAATGCAGAAATCTATTCATATGATGAGTTTGGCTAACTCTACAGAAGCATACTTAGGTTTTAGTCAATGATTTAGAGTCAGATAAACTTTCTCAGCTATCAAAATTTATTTTTGTTAATAAAACAATCAGAGAGATTACACAGGAAAAATGGGATTTAATGAATTCAAAGAGCTATGGGCAGCTCTTAATGGCTGGAAGCAAAACTTCATGACTGTTGATCAAGACCAAAGTGGCACAATAGAACATCATGAGTTGGGTGAAGCCATTGCTCTCATGGGTAAGAATATTAACATTCTTTAGAATGTATAAAGCTCTTCTTTGTTCTTTGATTAGATGAAGCTTAATTGCTTCAATTTGCTAAGTAATAAAGTGATATATTTTTCACCAGCAAGTTCCTTTGTTTGTTTTCAAGGTCGTAGGTAAATTCTGATCAAAGACTTCAACAAAACCATTTTAATTATGATTTTTTCCAAAAGGTGATCTTCCATACATGCATACATTCTGAATTTCTTCTGTTGAGTATGTTTAAATTTATTTCTTTGTTAATACTCACCACTTACATTGTATTCTTTTATAACTTGGCAGGATCTCTAATTGGGAGCTAAAGCTTGCCTCTGTCAGTCACAAATCTGTACCAAAGAGCTTTTCAGCAGTAAAAGCCATGTTTTTGTTTGTCTTTTTTTTTTTTTTTTTTTTTTTTTTAATTCAGATATAGTACAGAACACCTAGCAGGTACCAAAATACATCAAGCTGGAAAGATTGCATTTTAGAGTAATTTAAAAGTATATAACTTTATTTTTATCATACCTCTTTTAAGCTAATATTCTTAGTGTACTTTCAAAATGGATAACATGCAGTGGTGTTTAATTTGCTTAAAGTCAATGCAGTTCTAGGTAGCTTCCTGAATTGTTTCTATGTTTGTGATTTTATTATTATTATATTTTTTGAGATGGAGTCTCGCTCTGTTGCCCAAGCTGGAGTGTAATGGTTTGATGTTGGCTTGTCTACCGGGTTCAAGCAATTCTCCTGCCTAAACCTCCTGAATAGCTGGGATTACAGGCGTGTGTAATCTTTAGGCGTGCTAAATCTTTAGCAGAAAAGTAAACCTCCAGAGTTCAGTTAGGCAGCTGGATGTAAAAAGGGTAATCTAGATTATTCAAATTTAAGATCTTCATATATATTTAAAAATTATCAGATTATCTTGGTGAGAATACTGTGGAAAAATCTAGGAATTTTGTCAGTACCACATTTGGATCATAACTCTCTAATATGAAATTCAAACTATATTTGCATATAATTATATTAATTTGCATGTTTTAATGTGTCTTTCAATTTATACCTTTACTTTCTTTTACTTTTAGCAGGTTTCCTGCATTATATTCTATTGTATTTAGCTACATGCATAATTTTCTCCTATTGCATCTATTTTGGTTGTTTTCACCTTTGAATGGATTAGTGTCATTTGTTCAAGTCATTTTCTCCTATTGCATTTATTTTGGTTGTTTTCACCATTGAATGGATTAGTGTCATTTGTTCAAGTCTACAAATCCAGTAATGTATGGGCAATTATAGTGGGCTACCATTCTTAGTAAAGTATACACATCTCATTAAAAGCCTAGGGCCATCTATAAGTGTGCAGCAAGTAGAATATATTAATTCATGTTTTTATTCATTTTTTTCTCATTCATTTTAAATTTTATATTTTATGCATATTTTAAAATGGGAATAATCAAACAGTAATACATGTATAGAATTTAAAACTAATTTAAAACATATACTTGGAGTGAATGATCAAAAACTTCTCATTGATATAAGTATAAAATAAAAAATTTTGGACATCATAGGATTACTAGAACAAAGAACTAATGAAATCACTGAAGTAGTGAGAAAGCTGTTATTATTATTACAGTGTGTGAAGAAACATTAAGATTTCTAGGGCAAAAAGGAATAATGTTTTTCCATTTTTATTCCCCTTTAGAGCAATAACGTTGATCCTCAAGTTTCCCTTAGTTATAAAAGATACTTTCAAGTAATATGTTCAGTGGGAAATATGATTTGAATAGCAAAGATCATTAGTAATCTTTGCATTAATATTCTTTAAGAAATATAAAAAGTTACATAATTGAAATATGGAAGCATTAAAGCCTGTGAAATTAGACATTATTTCAAAATAAAAATATATGACAGAGTCATAAGAAGATAATTATTTTCTTTTCCTTAGCTTTGACTTTATTACAAAATTAGAATTGTGATATTTATATACCGATTAACAGGATTAACAGTGAAGCCTTTGATCAATTTCAATATTAATGTATTCGTTTTTAATTACGTTTTTATGGAATGAATTTCGAAAGTTAATTTATTTTATGACTTCATTAATGAGAAAGCAATCTTGCAGTGTTCTTATTTACATTTCGAAGTTTTAATTTATCTCTTTTTAGGTTATAGGCTGAGTCCTCAAACATTAACTGTTATTGTTCAACGTTATAGCAAGAATGGCAGAATTTTCTTTGATGATTATGTTGCTTGCTGTGTGAAGCTTCGAGCATTGACAGGTATTAACTATTTAAAACTAGGTACAGTATTATGTAGCTATTTTTCTGGAATAATGTGTCTCATTTCTTCCAGCAAAAAATGTATAATAATATATGCTTTCCCCTTTTATTTACTGTTCAATCTAATTAGTTTTAAGGCTTTAAAAATTGAGGAATAGAAATGATAAAAATTGTTGTATGTTATTTTTGAAAGATTTTCTTCATATCTGTGTTGCCTGGGCTATTCAATCACTTAAGATTTAGTTGAATATGAAATTATTCTATTTTTGTAATGGGGGGGACAAAATATGTGAAACTATATATCTTAAATTACAATAAAAAAGTAATTTCTTCATTTAAAGATTTCTTTAGGAAAAGAGACCACTTGCGACAAGGGTTTGTGAATTTCGCATATGATGATGTGAGTATCCTGTTTTTGATATTTATACTGTGTTGTAGATACATTCTTAGTAAAAAAAAAAAAAAAAAAAAAAAAAGGTGATTCCCAAGTACCAATACTGCAAATAATATATTTTGTATACCATATACTTTTTCTATATTTTTCAACTTGATAAAATATAAGATTAATGTTGGTATAGATGCCAAACAATTTGACTTCATGTTAAATTGTAAATATTCTTTTCAATTTTTCTGACAGATTTTTGGAGTTAAAAAAAAAAAAATGATCTTTCAAATCACTCTTAAGGGCCCAAACCACCATTATTTTTTTAAAAAGTAGTTTACTTTGGTAACATATTTTCTCAGGGAGGGAAAAATTAATCCAGTACAGATTACAAAGATTACAAAGCTATTCATTTCTCATTTCAAATGGTTACTATTATCCTGATACTCAGGGTTTTTAAAAATTCAAGCTATAAGACAGTTATATTTCACCTGTGCTTTAATGCTTCAGGGTTTTTGTTTTTTTTTTCTTATATTTACTGATAGAAGTTACAGGGTCAACATTACTCTACGATTATTTATTGTCTTGAATTATAAGCCTTGGAAACAAACTTTCCCTCTTAAGAAAATGCTCTTATGGAATATAATTAGTCAAACACAATTAAAAACCATTTTATTCTTAATAGATAATTATTTTACTTATGTATTAGTTTTTGCAGGGCAGTATGGCAATTTGAATGTCTAGAATTCTAAACCTGAAGAGACACTGTGAATTCTTTTGCTTGGAGGAAGTGGACTGGACTACTTCAAAATTTTTAAGGTTTTTTCCGTGTTCTTCCTACCTGTTGAATCTCTTCCCTTTCTGTGTGTTTTTATTTTAGCAGGTAGTTCAAAGCAATAAAATATTTTTTTTTTTAATTTGGGATATTACTGCTTTTGGAAAGTTACCATTTTACAGATATGTGCATATTGTCATAAAATATTTGTGTATGATTGATTTAAATAATGCTTAGCCTTAATTTTTAACCATGTAAACTTAGAGGAATGTACTTAAAAGATAGATTGTATAAGAAGTCAAATGATAAAAGCCTAGAAAAAATTAATTTATACTTATCTGAAGGTTACAAATTAGACTTTTAAATTTTGTTTGCAGTTGGTGGTGTTTGAGGGTCAGCTAGAAATGAAAGCCTGGATTTTGTGCTATGTTCATAATATAGTTTGTTCCTTGATCAAATAATAGGAAAGGAAACTTAGAACTCTTTGTCTGCAAAGAAGAAAATTATCTTCCCAGTCAAATCTGTGATGAAATAAGACTACAAAAGGCATAATTTTCCTTTTTTATTTTTTGTAATATGTTTTTCTTCAGTATGTTATATTGTCTTCTCGAAGCAAAAAGTTCTTAATAAACATAGTATTTCTCTTTACACCTTGTTCCATTAGTGAAGACATAGTTCACCTAAAATGGCATCCTCCTCTAAATCTAGACTTTTTGGAAATGGCACATATGATTGGTGAAATCAACATTCAAATTCATCCTAACTAAATTAACCACTCTAATTGTTCAGAAATTATACATTTGACTTATTTGACAACATTAGTGGTGGCTTTGCCATTGAAAACACCAGTAAATATTTTGAATGCATCTAGGTAATTTGGGGTTTTGAGTATAGTAGACACCACAGCAATTTTTCTGAGTGATATTAAAACTGTCAAAAATGCAAAGTAGAATCACCAGATCTTTAGTGCTTAATATCCCTAGTATAAGATACTACAATTAATGTAATTTATTTTTTGCCAAACACCTTGTGTCTTAGTGAACATTTAATAAACTACATATTCTTCTTATGCTTTAAATGAGTATCTTCCAGCTAACAGTGAGTGACTAATTTTATGACTGTTGACCAAGTTAATTTATATATTTTATAAAATCCCATGTTACTTAATGGATGGAGGATAGATGGCAATATCTTGAGCAAAACCTTTCATAAACTTACAGAATTTTAAATCAGCTTTCACTTTTAAAAAATCCTGGAAAGGAAGTGATACATAGTCACTTGACACTGATAATTTTATATAATTTGCTGTCAAATTCACTTGGTCAGTTTTATAAAAATGTGTGAATAAGTAATCCACATAATTTTGTTCTCTGGCTTTTTTTTCATGAAGATATATTTGATGATGTGAGAGGACATAAACTGAGTTAATTAAAAACAACAAAAACAGAATTATAAGTGTTGTAGGAAAAAGCAGATGTAAAAACACGATGTGTTGTTCACATTGAATGGTGATAATATGGCTCAGCAACCTGTAATCTTAACATCCAGGTTATATAGATGGTCTTTACTGACCTATCCTGAGGTTGATTATGATTATCTCTCTTACTTGGAGGCTTACTTGGAGGCTTTAAAACTTTTAAAATGACAAACCGTATTATTCATGCAAGTTTCTGCCAAATGACATTCTGTATTAGAACTCTTTAACACGATTCTCATCTAAAAATGTTCCTATGACTTTTGGTCACAGGAGGTCTATGAAGGAGCTTCCATGGTCAAACATATTTAGAAACTCTCACCTTATAAACTTGATAATGTATATTAGTGTCTGAAAACCCAAGGTTAATAAAATCAGTCATGTTTAATTTTATTTGACCCAGTTTTTTTCCAAATTTTTTGACCACAAAACCCCTTTCTGTAGCAAAACTAACATTCTGTGCTGATCCAACTCAATTGCCAGGCATCTCTTCTGTACTTTTCATTAGCTAGACAGACTTTTATTAACAGAAACATTGGGCCTAGAGAATATTTTGCTAGAATTTTTATACTGAAATACAGTTCACTTTTTTGATGGTTTAAAAATAACGAATATAAATATTTGTTATTAAAGATTAAATAGTTTTATGATGAACACAACTGCAATATGAATATAGAGTAGTTGTTTGCACTGGCTAACTTATACCCCAGTTTTTTTATGATGATGTAAATTATTGAATAATGTACACTCTTAATGTATAAGTGCTTTTATTTATACAGTTAACATGTTTCCATGTCATTTTGAGAATTTTTTTAATAAACATTCAAATAGCTTGCTGTAAAGTTTCGTATCATACAAAATCTGTTACATATATATTATGAGATGCTTCAGTTCAAATAACAGTGCAGTAATTCACCTATAACTAAAAGACTGCCAAATGATTAAGTGTCATGTATTGCACTTCTATTTTGAGTGGCAGTTTACACATTTTAAATTACATCAAGGGTAAATCAATACTATGGAAATCTTAATTTGGTCCACTTTAAATGTAATTTCAAGGATTTCTCAGTTAATCTATTTAAACATGCATCCAGAAAAAAGTAACAAGAAATGTAGTCAAGTTAGTTACGTTTATTTCCAAAAAAAGGCATTTAACCTAGAAGAAAGTAGAATCTGTTAATGTAAAGTCTGTGGAGTTAAAAAAATAACAGAAAATCAATTTATTTGTGATTATTTCTTTTAAGTAAAATATAGACATCAAGTTCTCTTTTAATCTTATGGCATTACCAAACTGGACAAACAAAATAAATACTCTGTCAGAAATGTGCTCCTCTTTGTCTTTTTATGTTTGACAAACTCATAAATGATATGTTTTCTTCTGTTTTTCTATGGTTTTCTGGGAGATTAATAGGAATAAACTTGTTAATATCTGGTGAATTAAATCTGGTGAGTAAAATCCAAGACTTCTTTCATGCTAACATGTTCTGTTTCATAAGCTTTAAAATGCAACCATGGGTGTTTTATTACTTTAAAACTTGTTAGAAGATCCCAATTTTTTGGTCTTAATTCAATCATTTACATAGTGAATTAAGCACATTGGAATAAATAAGTAATGCTAAGGGCATCATCCAAGAATATAGAGTTTATTATTAGATGATACAAATAAAAAATACTTAGGACTAGTAAATATTTAGAAAATTTGAGTGTAGACAGGATTTTAAATGAATACTGCCCAGATAATTTGAAGTCTAGAATGAGGTCATCACATAGTACCTATATTAAACTTTTCCTGTAATTTAGAATACTGAGCATAAAACTACTTTCCAGCAAAACACTGGGAAACAGGAAAAATTTGTCTTACTCAGTATCAGCTCATTTGCTGGGAAATCTGTGCTTTAAATCATTTCCTGCCATATCTCTTTCTGCTTGTGTTTTAAAATATGTTTTTCTGGCATATAAAGAAAGATTCTTATATACTTAGTATTCCTTTTATCCAGGTAGCTTGGTAATATGCAGCTTTGTGGATTATTTTGTGGGTTTCAAGACTCAGGTGTGCTTCTATATATCTGAATAGATAGTGAGTAGACATTGGCAACACTTCTACATCACTATGATGTGCCATACTGGAAGAGAATGGGGAAGCTCTTTCCCTATGTGCTAGTTATGTTTTCTTCAGATGTGCCCCTTCTCTAACATCAGAGATGGTGGCAATTTGCAAAGCTTATAGGGAGTGAGAATTGGCCTAGATTCTCATATAATAGCAATATTCAGGGACACTTATGTAAGGAATGATTAGGTCTTAATTCTGACATATTGTGAGAGGTACCCCAGCGTTTTCCCTTAACCATAAAAATGTAAGTATGTACAAATACATGCATACAGATATTTGCATTCTAGTTGACTGTACTGAATCAGATTTCATTTTGCTATAATTATTCAATTTTCAAAGGATAACCTGAAGAGTGCTAGTATGAATGTACCAGAAACATTAAGCATTCATTTTTTTGAATATTATAAGCCATTTAAAAGTGATTTTTAAGATTTTTCTGAACTTTTGGATGCATATTTAATTTCCCATAGCTATCTAAATGTGGTACCCTCAAATTTATATTATGGCAGGTGATAATTTATCTTATGGTAAGATCTAAAGTATTTAGCTTCATATTTAGAGTCTCATTTTCTGATCAGCCTCAGTTATAAAAACCATTACAGTTTTTCTATTTGTGTTTGGTTTTTCATTTGTCAAAGGGAAATATTCTCTTGGTGTTTGAAACCTTAAAGATGAAGGTTAGGAAATATAAGCCACTAAACAGACTCAACAGTCCTTAGCTTACATGCCACATTATGGCCAACAAATGCAATTTACAAGTTTTCTTGAAGGCAGTTTGATATTTTTCCCCCTTAAATAATAGAGAAGCAACTGGGGGAGGAATTAAGAAAGTATGAAACTCGGGCAAAATAAAACATCTGGATAGTGTCATTCTTGGTTAAAAAATGAAGCAAACATACATTATAAAAAGTTATTTGCATGTATGTTAAAGCCTGTTTATCCATCAGAAATTTTAAGTAAACAGTAAATGTTTCAGTCAGTCACTGTTGTGGTCTTAACAGGCAATCATCGGTGAAACATGTTTCTTCTGTTTTAGATTTAATGCTCTTTGCCACTCAGTCTAGCTTACTAGTGTCCTGATGGAACTCTGTAATAGCTGTAGCACTGTTATGTGATTTCATTAAATAACATCAGCACCACCATGCCTGTATCTAGCACTGTTCCTAGTAAAATGTTGGAAAAAGTTGGCTTGTCTAGTAAAAGTATCCTACTTAGCTAATGAGATTTACTTTCTTTTTCCTCAAAATAATTTCTTTTACAAATTCTTGAATTTTTCATGTATAAATAGATCAGAAATTATATGCTCATTCTTAAATTATGTATATATACTATATTTTCAATACAACTTGTACACTTCCTTTAGCTACCAAAAATTTGCAACCATTTTTACATGAAATGTACATTTTTCTTATTTACAGTTATCTGTAGAAGCTTATTGCAAAACTAGTTGTGCAAGTAGATTACACTGTCAATACCACATACCAACCTTTGAAGAAAATATTTGCTAAAAAATAAATATTTCTGCACAGAGTATTTCAAAAGCATTATGATTTCATGCTACATTATGTGCATAAAAACTAGGAAATAGTATGTGTTTTGGTAGATTGTTTCATTTTGTGTAAAGCATTCCAAGGTACTTCCTGCTTAGCCAGATGTGAGCTGCTTTGTATCAGATGACTGACATTTTCAAGTGATTACACACATTCTTTTTGGAAATGTATTATTCTTTAACTGGTAAACATTCTGATGTAATACATTTTCCCATCAAAATTATAAAATGAAAATTTCAGCTAAAAAGAGGTAACGTGCCTTTAATTGAAATCAGTACGTGGCTAGGAGATAAAAACTAAAGATTCCTCAAGATTTCTAATCTTATTTAACATTTGGGAGAAAGATGCCGTATCACTTCAGTGGTATTATAGGGGCCTTTGAGGAGAAAAGATTACTGAGCCTTTAATTTTACCCCAAAATAAGAATGATGAAAATGTGGGATTTTTTATATAGCTAAGCAATATATGTCAGCATAAATAATACAGTTTAAATGTTAACAGTTGTGATTATTTTCAATATAAAAACATTAAAGCATACAAGAGGCAGTACAAAGAATATAGGTTAAACATAGTGCTTTAAAACCATAGGTATACCAAATTATTTTACATCTTTCAAAATGTAAGTTAATGGAAGTCAAAGATGTAGTGACTATAATTTAGGGGATTCATCTAATTTTTGACATTAGCTTTTCAAGAATAACTATGTTAGTATTGCCACTTCTCATAATAAGTACTATTTTATTGGGAGTGTTTCTGTAATCTTGCTATTCTCGTTTAAAAGTTTGATCATGATTGGTAGAGCAATGAAATTTGTCAATTGATTGTATGGTTCTGTGTTCTGAATATTGCATTTCTATAGATGTTTTAATATATTCATAGTAATAACATGTTTTAAATAACTTCTTGTTAGTCATCTCTCAATCTCCATGTAATAGTTTGTATATATAAGCCTCACAGTAGTTTCTTTTCATGCTTTTGTTTATTAATAATTCATGTCTTTCTGTTATTTTTCTGTATTTGACATTTAACCAAAGTGTGTTTGTACCACAAATGCATGTGATGAATTATTGTACTCGGGCACTGATCAATCACAACACCTAATACTGTACATTTAAAACATGATCCTTTAAGTTTGAAAAGTGGCTTAACATCACATCATTATAAGTAGAACCACAGAAAAAAATTTGAATGGGAACACTTGAGGAACGAGGGAGAGAAGGATGAGCTATTGCAAACCTAGAAAACAACTGGAATGCAAACGTATAAATTATTGAATGGTGGACAAAGGCAATATTTGACCAATATAAGGTTGCTGTGTATACTGGTGTTCTGCTCTGAGCAACTAGATCTTTGGGAGGTATGTGAAAATGACTTTATAATTTTTTGTTATACAATATGAATGTACGTGCTGGGTAAGGGAAAGAACAACAGAAATGTTTTAGAAGACCTTAAATAGTGCTACTGCACCACCACCATGTTCCACCATCTTTGTGAAGATGCACAAGTCACACAATGATCTTATAGATTTACTATAAGAAGAAAGAACGTGCTTTATGGTTTACAAAACATTTCTGTTTATGTATTTCAGAGGATCCTCAACATACCCCTTCAAGATATGTTAGATGCTACCTCCATTTTTATAATTTTGGATACTGGAGCTTGCTTTGGGTTTGTCCCAAGAATAAATGGAGAAGGTAGAATTTGAACTCAGGTTTACCACATTGAGTCCCCTGCCATTTCCACCATTCCACACAAGAGCTTAGCCAGTTTAAGACTGTGTAACATATCTGTGCAATGGAAGAGTGACCTAGGAGTCTGAAAAGAACCATTGCAACTGTAAAATTCTATTTTCTGTAAAAATAGATAATATATTTACTTTCAAAATTGTATTTTGTAAATGTATTTTCAGAAATCCATCTAAGGACTAAATCATAGATCTAAAGAGGGACTTCCACAGTGAGCCAGCCTTTATAGAATACATTCTAGTAGTACTGATCGACAGATTACTTTTACATACTTGGCATGTAACATCGATTCAGAGTAGATATGTTTATAATAAGGAGATTGATACTCTCACTATTATTATAAATAGTATTACTTTAAAGCTATAAACCTAATAGTGCAAAATAGCATTAAGAGAGAGGAAACAATAGCTATATGTAGGTTTTTCTGCATCAAAAACTTATCTTGGTAACAGTTATTTTCTTTGAGATGCTGCACATTGTGCAAAATCTAAATCTTGGGAAATTGTTCTCCTGCTTGTTTTTAATGCCGTGTTTCTGGATGAGAAACAAGGAACCCAGCATTTTTTTTTTAGCACCTAGTATGTGCCAGTCACTTTACTATATTTTATCTCATTTCTTCCTCAAGCTTCTGTGAGACAGGTACCATTATCTTATTTTGGGAGAGTCAAAAAAAGACTTGGGGAGGTGAATAACTTGCTCAAAGTCACACAGCTATTCATAAAGAACTGGTATTGGAACCCAAGTTGGTCTGACTGCAGAATCTATGCTTGCTCTTCTATATTGATAATTCTCAAATTTTTAGTGTGTGTAAGGATCATGTCAGAGAGGGCTTGTTAAAAGATAATTGCTGGGTCCCACCCCTAAAGTTTCTGATTTAGTAGATCTGGGGTGAGGCCAAGAATATGCATTTCTGCCAAGTCCCCAGGTGATGCTAGTACTGTTGGTTGGTGGACCACACTTTAATGACCACTGTCCTATATCATCCTGTCGTCTAGTGCCTCTTCAAACTCACATGATAGAGACATGCTTGTTTTACTGTAAAAATATAACTTGATTTTTTGATAAATTATACAATGTTGATTTTTATAAATAAGTAATTTACTTACATATATTTATTTATTTTTGGTTTTAGCCATAGATAAGAACTTTAAAGACTCTACAATATTAAGTTATAAGTTAATGTTGCAGAATTTTTTTTTTAATCATGAAAGTACTTTAGAGGAAAGATACTGTTGTTATTTAATGATAATTATTTTAGATATGCCAATAAGGTGATACATTTTATCATTAGATAATATATGATGGGGTTTTAAAATGACATTTGGATAAGAACATTTGTTTTCTAGTCATTTTGGAAACATTTGCTAAAGTTCAACCTGCAAAAGTACCTTGTAAGCAACTCTTACACGAACATATTAAACCTGACCCCAAATGCCCTGACCTACTTTCCATACTTCCTGACCAGAAGAGTAAGATAGTTCCACTGTGATGACCAGTACAGTATAATGGACTTAAGAAACTATTCTGTCCCAAATCTGCCCCCTGCCTTCCTATGTTTGTTGAATGAGTTATTATTAATTTAAAAACCCCATGAGAACATTGCTTCATCATTTATTATTCCTGGTTTTCTCAACTAATTAAAGAATGTGACTCCCCTATCGGGAGAATGATAAGTCTAAGTTTCAGCTCTTTGCCCAGCAATTAATAACAGCAGGAGAGCATCTGATCCAAACAAACTTTAGATTTTAAATGACATTTTATTTGGGCCAGGGGACTAGGTAACATCAGTTTTAGGGGGAAAGCAAAAGGTGTTATGTTGGTGCTTCTAATTACCTAGAAGGAAAGCATTTGCTACACTGCAATTATGATTGGCTACAGCAGTTCAACCTGGCCCTCAGCATGATCCCTAGATGGAGAGGTCAGACTGTTTTTGCACCAGCCAACGAAGGGTGGGAGATAATGGTGCATTTAGACATTAGGTCTTTGGCTGGGGAAGGGTGTGAATTTTGTACATCAAGATAATTGCTTTGGTCGTCTATAAGTCACTTTAGCCATTGAGTCTTCTGACGTTAATGCCCACTAATCCCATATTTATATATATGCTCAGGTTCTTTTTAAGCTAATGTCCTGTAGGAGGAGAACTTCCCAATCCTGTCCAATTCTCTGAGGGTTAAGATTTTAATATAAGCAATTATGTGAAGGGATGAAGAAAAAGGTTTGTGTTGTGCTAGAATTTAAACAAACTGAATGCTTGCACACCATTCCCTATCTTCCTATTTCTTCACGCTTAGTTTTCATAAATATAAACAGAAGTTTTATGTGGAAGGCTGGATTTTATTCATGTCATACCAAATGTTGCAGCTGAGGCATTCATTAATCAATCAGATTTCAATACCTCACCTGCCAAATCCTCTCTCCCTATAAATGAACATTGTCTGGTGAATTCATTCTGAATGTTCCTGGAACTTAGGCCGGCAATCCTTATGAAATTTGCTGCAGCTGCAAAAATGTGTCCTAGTATAGAAACAAAATCCCAAAATAGTCCTCTGAATCAGAGTTAGCCATTTATGGGACTTTCTCTTCCCTGCTAGGCACCTACTGAATGTTTGTTGAATGAGGAAGTGAAAGCATCAGTTAGCCCCTAAGTTTGTATCTGCATAACACAAAATAATTTGGGAAACTGGTTATAATTATTACACTTTTGTATAATAGTATATGTTTGAATTGACTGGTCATTTTGCATAATGCACTTGGACATTTATGTTTTGTTTTTTCAAAAATTAAGCAGGAGTAAGAACAAGTTTATGCTTACAGATTGCCTTCCACATGGATTACCAATTTATGTGACCATTTAAAAATATACAGGGGGCAGTCTAAGGTCACTTTAATCACACTTTAAAGAGTTTTTGTAAATTTAAATAAATAGCTTGCATTTGAAGCTGATTAACAGATCAGTGTCAAAGTTTGAATATCCCGAAGGGATAGAAGTTAACCCATTTAAATGTGCACAGATAAAATGTTCTTAATGGACTAAGAAACTTTCAATAAATCTAAATATTTTTGTTCTGAAAGAAAAGATACAATGGATCAGAGTTCATAATTTTTAACTTGTACTTGAATTGAAAAATAAGATTTCTTAACTAGAACTTGACTGATCAGAATCTTAAATTATAACATTTTCTTCACCCCAATTTTATGAGAGACATACGCTCCCCACAAAAAAACTAACAGTTGAAGATATTTTAATGGAAAGATATATTTCATTGTATGTTTTGATATTCTGAGGTCAATATATATTCATTCCAATCCATGCATAATGTATTTTTGTTTAATTTTCAATTGGCAAGTGTTTGAATTACTAAACAAAACTGAAATTTTACTGATGGTATGTGCATTTTCTTTTTAGGCACACTTTTTCCATAGCTGGAAGTACACATCGAGTAACGTATTTAATGGAAGCTAGTTTTGCCATGCAAATCCACTGAAATCATACATTCTTTGAAAACTATGTATGTCCACGATTTTTTGTTTTTTGAGATGGGGGTCTCACTTTATTGTCCAGGCTGGAGTGCAGTGGTGTCATCAAGGCCTCCTGAACTCTTGACCTCCCAGGCTCAACCCATCCTCCCACCTAAGTCTCTTGAGTAGGTGGGATTACAGGTGTGAATTACCACACCCAGCTAATTTTTAAACATTTTTTGTAGAGATGGGTTTTTGCCATGTTGCCCAGGCTGTATGTCCATTATTTTGATCAAATTCAGGATTTCTTTAAAATATGAATCACAAGAAAGCTGTGGATATCAGTTTGTGTTGGTCACAGTTTAGCAGTTCTTAAGGAGACCACCCCTTCACCCCCCTAAAAAAAGCAAAATGAGAAATGTGTTCTTAAGCGTTCTAGGAAATGTGCCAGTGGAAAATACTTTAGATGATTTGTGAATGCAATTAGTGACATAATTTTAAGTAGAAAGGCTTTGTTCTCATTAACGTTGGCCTATGTTTAGTATTTGGAGATGGCTTCCTATACTGTCAGAGGTTTATAACTCAAACTTTGTATTTTTTCTTCCAGTGTGGAGTAAGGAATGTAACTTTACACATCTTGATACAGAATGACCTGAATCTGTTTGCAAAAGTGACTTAAGTTCCTTTTATCCCCCTGGAATTCCCATGAGTTGAGGATCATCTGAATCTGAGTTGCATCCATGAACAGTTTTATCCCTTGGTTTCTTATTTGCGTGGAAGGCATTTTCATATCAAAGTACTGGTTTAGTAAAAGCAGTAAATAGGAGTCTCCATGCAAGAGAAATTGGAGTTTCCTAACATGCATGTGATTTAAAAAATAAACATAAAAAATAAGGTGCCATGAGATGCTGGCAGTTTTAACATTTGGAACCAAAAGTTCTTATGTATATTTACATCCTAACTGCTCAATTTTACCTTACAAGCTTCAATTTAGGAAAATATACAGTACTTTTGCATATAGTGGTACCTTGTGAGCCCCTGAGTCAAGTAGAGAGGATTTAAATAGAAAAAGGAAAACAGCCATTAAAAGCACTTACATTGTATGTGGAGTAAATAGTACAAAATGAATTATTTTCCTGGAAGACCAGGATCAGAAACATGCCTATGAAGACCCAAGATTCCTACAGTGCTTAGGGATGATTCTGGCAAAGAAGGATGCCTAATTGGATGAAGGTACGTTTTTCTTTGCCGCAGATGAAGCTCTAAAGAGAGATCACTGTCTTGTTTTAAAAGTGAAGTCAAGTTGTCTTCCGAAGCTGTATTCAGATGCACCCCACTTGAAAGGGATTCTTTGGATTTAAGTTTAGATTTTTCAAGGTCTAGAAATTCAGGACACTGATGGAAAGAAAACAAAACATGCTTTTACAATTCACATTGATAGACAGTCATTGAAAATTATACTAATAAAAACTTAAGCGTTTTCTTTCCTCATTAATCTATATTTGATTAGTGACATTAGCCAACATTTCCCTCCTAAAATGAGTCAAGACATCGGAGATTGGTTATCAGTATAGATAATCCTAAACAACCGTTCCAAGAACTTTTATTTAACCTTGGAGCCAGATTTTAAAAATCAGATTTAAAAAGTATTATTTTACATTGAGTTTTCCAGATGAGTTAAAGTCAAAATTTAAGACAAAATTGGGATGAGGAAGAGGATCATTTGATGTGTAAGAGGGTATCAGGAGGAAAGAAAAGATGGGAAGTAAAGTCAGTCATCTCTAGTGAGGTAATATTACCTAAAAAGGCTGAAAACAAAGAACAAAATGGATGATTTTACGTGTTTCCCAGTCATTCAAAACTAGTTAAATTAATTTCTACTTTCAGATTTTAGAAATAATGCATTATTTTTCTTTCTGGCACATAACCTTCTGTTATTACTGTAGTTTCATTTTCCAGGACAACCTAAATTCCCAAACATCTAAAAAAGTTTTACAAGGTTATTCTATAAATCCTTATTTAAATCATTGTTCTTAGGTCCAATTTCACTATAATGTTTAACTAATTGAGACAAATTCCCAAAATAGTATTAAAAGGGAGCTAGACTACTCATATTAACATAATTCAAAAGGGTCCTCTTTGAGGACTTCAGAAGCAGGAGAAAGGACTTTTTAAATTGCTTCTCTTACCATGTTTATCATCCAAGTGAAAAAAAATTTAGAGCTCTCTGGTGATGGGTGGGGGTACAGACAAGATTACTAGTCTGATGGTGTTTGAACCTCAGGTCTAATCTGGCCAGCATGCTATTTCGCCTCCCCTTTCTTCCTGAGACCTCACCCAGCCTTTCTTTGGCACTGCAGCAAATTACAGATTTTTCTTTGAAGCTGTTTTTAGTCCCAGATTTTTCTCTAAAGCCCTTTTTGGAGCACCGAAGACTATTCCTTAGATTTCAAAGCTCTACTGCATGAAAATTTAAGCAGGTTGATTCTGGAAAGAAAAAAGGTTTTCCTTAAAAAAATGCTAATGTTTAAAATCATTATTCTAGCTTCATTGTTCTCAAACTTTAAATGAATGTAAAAATCAGCATGGGCTTGTTTAAAATGCAGATTACAGGGCCCATTTCCAGAAATTCTAATTGAGTAGAAACAGAGATGGGGACAGAAATCTGTTTTCCACAGCACCCCAAGTGATTCTGATTTAGGTGACTCGTGGAAACATACACTTTGAAAGACACTCTTGATTGGATGGTATCCACACTCACTTGTGAGGACGGGCTGAAACTTCGATCAGTTTTGATAGATGCTAACGGTTGACTAGTTCTCATCAGCCGGATGATGGGTCTCTGATATTCTGCTCCTGCTGTAACCATGCTGTAGGCTGGGGGGACCACAGTGGTTTGTTTCTGCAGTAACTGTAAGATGGTCTGGATGTCAGTGGTCATTTGGGATTCAAGCCTGCAGAATAGAGAGAAGAAGGAAAAGAGAGTCCTAAAAGTCCAGGATTTCAAGAGTATTAAAAAAAAATTTAGCACTACCAGCAAACAGAATTATGGCCTTGCTTTAAACAAGAAGGACAGGAGAGGGAGCACAGAGATTCTTTCCTGATGGATACTTACTGTGTATGTCTCACTAATGATTCTGATAAAGACTATTGCTTTCCTGCTCATATTAACAGTTAACAGAAAATCAGACGAACAAAATATACTACATGTTTACTAACCTTCACTGATTTCAAACTGTAAAACACACTGAGAATTCGTTTTTAATCAGTAATTGTCTTTGCTTTTTCATTAGGTTTTACTTAGTTTCTCGTGAACATTTTATTGGCTCTTAAAAAATGGATTGGTAGCACATTTGTTTAATAACTGTAGCACTCAGGATAATTTCTTATGTATTTTTACATTTATATTACCTTTTTTAGCCTTACCTCTTTCCTATTCATATTAAGTATTGTGTATTATTCATTGTATTCTTTCTTTAACGTTTAACGCTATTAAATGCTAAGTTCTTTTTCCCTCTGAATATGTCACGGCCTTTGGTATGTTAAGAAGTATACCAAATTTGACTTCACTTGCTTCTAATGACCCATCTGGCCTGCAAAATACTAGTCTATTTTTTCCCTAAAGCTCACAAGTAGCCAACTGGCCTGTTAATTTTATTCTCATTTTAAATTAAAATTTAAGGGAAAATAGCAAAATATAATTGGTCAGATTCCCTTCTTTTGCATGTGTTAACAGCATTAAAAACAGAGGAAATTTTGTGGACATAAGAACAGAAAATTTGGACCATATGCCTCTAGAAAATTCTTCTAACTCTTCACTTATTTGTGCTGTTTTGCCTCTGAATAAAAAATGGAAAGAAAAGAAAAAAATGTAAAATCATAGGATTAATTTTGCCCACTTAAAGTCATGCTTATTTGTAGAATTCAAAGTAGAAATTAGTGTTTAATTTAATAGACAACATAATAAACCTGGAAGACATGAGAAAATACCTTTTTTTAAGTTTTTGATATTTTGATATTAATACTCCAAATCTTCCTTCTAAGAATCACAATAACACATTATTCTTACAGTTTTTCTATAGTTGGTAAATATAGCCATACAGCTTTGTGTCTTCTAAACCAATAGCTATGAATTATACATGACTTTGCAAATGTCATTTTTGCAAATGTCAAAACCACACACTGAAAAGGGAAAAATTGAATTATCAACTGGTTTATTTATCTACTTTTGTTACCTAAAGGTCTGATCTAATTTTTATGCTTCCGACTAAACTGAGCAGACCCATTAGTTTACTGTTATGTGTTATACATATCTTTCTTTCATTCTACTCAAGTCCCAGCTTATATATTATCTGTACTCAAAAATCTTTCCTTATTTACCTCATCAAGAATTACTTTCTCCTCTGAGCCTCCAAAGAAAATTCTACATTCATAGGTCATCATAAACATTTCTGTACAAATGTATTCCATCACTAACAGCATTCAATTGTGAGTGGCTTACACAATGTCTATTAGAATTGAATGTAAAAGGATTTTAGCGGAAAGACTGGACGAAGAATTGCATCAGCAAGGGAGATTCAAAACCCAAAAATGAGTCAAAAATTATGGTGATGCTTTTGTCATATAAATCCTTTGCCAAACCTCAGCTGTCTCTGAGAAATAAAATCTCTTTATTATGGATTCTACCTATTTGAATAGTGTCTATGAGGAACAAATCTATTGGAAGGTGAGGCTTCAGCATCCACATGTCCAGTAATCGCAGCCCACTGCCATGAGGGGGACTCAGGCACATGACAGCTCATGTGCAGGTAAAGTGGCTGGTGCAGGGTGACAACAGAGACTGTGTCAGTATAAATTAGATAACAGCATAGCCCACCTCTGTCAACATGACATTGTTGTTTGTTCCAGGAAGACTTTGAGAAAAATAAGACTACAGTAATAAATAACTTTGCTACTTCAGGAAATGTCTATAAATTGCCTTATTAGAGACAGTAGGCTGTTCATCTCAACAATTTTTTAATCAAACTTTATTTATCAAGACTCAATTCAAGTTCCCCAGCTTACTGTGTCCAGTAGTCCTAAAGTATATCATAAACTTTGCCCAATTCCAGTGAGCTCCCCAGACTTTGAAAGGCCAGACTCCAGTCCTATAAATATCCTACTTCTCATTTCCCTTCTGAGACATCACTGAGGCTCTGTCCAGGTGGCAGAATCCCTTTCTGCAGTAATGTTGAATACTTAATTTTGTTTTATTAACTAGTTGTTAGATATAGTCCAACAAAGGGGAGAAGTTTACTGGTAAGTTTTTTCTATGCATAGGGTTGTATTTCTGTGTTTATTAAGCTAAGATAAGGGTCTGTTGGCTTAATAGGAATGGACTGTTGGGCCAGGCACAATGGCTCATGCCTGTAATCCCAGCACTTTGAGATGCCAGGGTGGGTGGATCACTCATCCTCAGGAGTTCGAGACCAGCCTGGGCAACATGGCAAAACCTTATTTCTACAAAAAGTACAAAAACTAGCAAAGTGTGATGGTGTGCACCTGTGGTCTCAGCTACTCAGGAAGCTGAGGTGGGAGGATGGCTTGAACCTGGGAGATCACAACACTGCACTTTTGTCTGGGTGACAGACTACAGAGACAGACTATCTAAAAAAAAGAAAAATAAAAGTGAACTCTTCTTTTGAGACTAAATAGCCTGCTTTAGGAATTTAAAATAAATTTAAAATAAATCCAGCTTGGTATTTAAAACAGAAAACAACATAGTTTTAGAACTTTTTCTTCTGTCAGCCTTGTTATAAAGCTGTGTAAAGTGAATAATTTCATTTCATTCACTCATTCAGAGACCCATAATGTACCAGGCACAAAAGAATGGTGAGGGAAGAACATGATCATGAATAAATATGAAATCTGATTTCACATTGCTAACAGGAACTAACCACGTAGGAAAGACAAATGAAGGGAACGCATACATAACCACAACTGGCAAAGCAAGTGCTCAATGCCATGCTAGCGGCATGCAGATAAATTGCTCTGTGTGTAATTGAAGGAGTCATTACTAACAGTTTCTACATTTTTACATTTTCTAGGGCTTCCCTACTCAAAAGTGTGTGAGTTTGTGTTTGTGTGTGTGTGTGTGTGTGTGTGTGTGTGTGTGTCACGGAGTCTCACTCTGTCACCCAGGCTGGAGTGCAGTGGTGCAATCGTGGCTCACTGCAAATTCCACCTCCTGGGTTCAAGCAATTCTCTGCCTTAGCCTCTGGAGTAGTTTACAGGCACCCACCAGCACTAATTTTTGTATTTTTAGTAGAGATGGGGTTCTGCCCTCTTGGTCAGGCTGGTCTTGAACTCCTGATCTCGTGATCCACCTCCCTCAGCCTCCCAAAGTCCTGGGATTACAGACGTGAGCCACCACGCCCACCGAAGTGTGCTTTTTAGATCAACAACACTGGACATTGATGGGGACTTGTTAGAATGTGGAATCTCTTCCAACTAGAGCTTTTAACTTGGAATCTGCATTTTAATAAGATCTCCAAATGATTCAAATACACATTGAAATTTGAGACACACTGCTCTAGGATCAAGTCTTAAAGATTTACCTAAATGGGTATATCTGCAGGCATAATATATAAATATAGAAGGACATTTCTAATGTAAACCTTTAACAATATCTATAGGTTGATCAGTCATTGAAGCAGAAAAGATGTGGTAGCAAGGACCATTCAAGATAGACCATTTTATTTATTTTTATTGCATTTTGTATTTAATATGTGTATTTGAATGAGACAAATGGTGTAGGAATTCACAGTTCTACATTTAAACAAATGCCAAAGCTAAACAGGGTAGACTCAATTCTAGAAAACTCTTTACTTTCTGTAAAGCAAGATAGACCATTTTATTTATTTTTATTGCATTTTGTATTTAATATGTGTATTTGAATGAGACAAATGGTGTAGGAATTCACAGTTCTACATTTAAACAAATGCCAAAGCTAAACAGGGTAGACCCAATTCTAGAAAACTCTTTACTTTCTGTAAAGTAGAAGTCTGAGTTGAGCTGCCCCCTTCAAACTTTTTTGTACACATTTAGCTTGTAGAATCAAATGGAGGTGAAAGTTTGTTAGAAACAGCAGTAGAGTAAAAATGTAATATTTTGGATTTTTAAAATCCAAAACAAGCAACAACAACAAAAACATCTGTGAAAATATCAGAGATAATTGGAAACAAATGTCAAAGGAGATGTAGTATTGTTGGTAGTGTCAACCTAAATAATAAACAGAGGCACTCTGAAAGGAAAAGACATTTATATGGGAATATGTAATTCAAGAGGAATATTCATGTCATAGTAAACTATGCACTCATTCTGTGAGGCAAAGGCATACATTTTTTAAAGAAAAAATGAGGAAGACTGCATGATTGTTTTGAAATGATTATCCTTGACTACAAAGGTCAATAACAAGGGTGACACTGGTCCAAGATTGGACAGGCAGTTGCTGGTCAGATGTCCTTGCAGAAGTACTTTTTTTGTAAGGTTGCAGTGGCTTCTGTGCAAGGTTGTGATTTTTATAGAGTCTTTGTGATAGCTTTTGTTATCAGGCACACAACTCTCTCTTCCTGGCCTTCCCCAGCTCTCTTTATCAGGGTTTTTCTAACATTAATGACTCTGTTTTGATTTTGACAACTTTCACAGCACCAATTCAAAACATCTTCAGGAAACACATACTGATATCGGGAACATGTCAAAAAGAGATTTAATTGCACTTTGTGGAAAAGTTTTATATAGTAATAACAACTTACTAATGTAATAAAATAGCAATAACAATTTTTATTACTATTGGGTGATTGCACACCAAATGGATCATAGATAAATGTGCCCTTAAAAGTTTATATTTTCAGACCCAGGACATACTGAAAACAAATGTCTTAAGCAATCATTGACTTATCCTAGCAGCAGTGATTGGCACCCATGACAGAGCAACCAGGTGATGCTAAAAATCTCAATTTTAGTTCTGATGAAAGGTCCAAGCCAGAAACTATATGTAGAGTAGGTTAATACACTCAGATGAACATCAGTAATAGAAGTGAAGTTCCTTGTTAATAAAATTTTACCTAGCTGCAGGTACACCATCTTCCATTTTGTATAGCACAGGTAGTTCCCATTTATATTATTTTAGTCCTTATCATTGTAAGTAGGTATGAATCAAAGTAGGCAGTGGGGGAAAATTTAAATGATTTGACCTAGTTATCCTGTAAGTCATTAAGTAGCAGACTTAAGACCTTTTACTGTGCTCACCAATTGCACGTATAGTGACAGCATTGTGCTAAATAAATCACTGCTGCCTTTGTCATTCATTCATTCACTTGTGTGTTCAATGACAATAAACAACATCGACAAAATGCACAAAAAATTTTAAGCATAGATAGTGAATAAATCAGTAGTTTATATGATCTAGGCAAAACTCATAGATGTGTTAAGCACAGATGAGTAAGCAAAGCAGCTTGTTAAATACGGCAAAATTCGTAAGATATATTAAATACAGACAGCATGCTAGTAACCTGCCAGGCATATCAAAGATAGAAATATGTAACAAACAAGAGTGTTGCTTATACATAGAGACGGAAAGAGCAAATTATTCTCATGTCACCTCTAGGCAAACAACTGTCATCCCAAAATGTGGTCACCCATTGGTGATACATACCAGTATCATCGCATTCTGGCTCTATGTGTGCTGTACCTGTGAAAGGCTAATGAAACACATGGCTGTTGAGCTGGCTAGCTGGAAAGCCACAGCTGAGGTCAGGTATACTATAGCTTGTGTCCTTGTTATGGAGCAAGTGTGTGCCACTGGCACAGGACATTATTTTTGTCTGAAGGCCTGCAAACCTCAACTCTGGTCTTGGTAACTTCATTACACTATGGCAAATGCACGAACATTGTGTAAGTCAGAATTACGGTAGTGTAGTCCTTTTACCATGCTTGTGCATATTTGAAATGTGTTAATTTCCCCATATGGTTTCCCTCTTCTCTCATTTGTGTTTTAAATTGATTTAATAAATCTTATGATTAGGGCATTTTAATTTAGTCAGTGAAGTTTTTTGTCTGGGACTGCTGGAATATCTTGCCTGGTGGTGAACTAAAGGAAACCACCCAGACTTACCTCCTCCCTAAACTAAAATTTATTTAGTTAATATGGGAGGTAGGGCCAGCAGAGTGGAGTGGGACTCTGCCGGGGAAGGGATTACCTCCTCCCTAAACTAAAATTTATTCTTCATGTTAAGTAGTTTAGATCAAAGGTGAAGGAAACAAGAAACTCTGTGGGATTTTCAATTCAATTACATTTTTTGACAAGCTGACTGAATAATTGAAAGTTTAAATCGCTTTGTCAGTATTTTTTAAATGCCCTAACACATAACCAAGCTTCCAGGAATATACAAAAAAAGTGTAAAAGGAGGATTCAAAGAGGAAGGGTGTTAGGTAATGAATTCATTGGGAATTATCTTGAGAGGGGAGTAATTGGATGACGAATAAAGAAAAAATACAATTTATGCTGCCTGAAGTATCAAGTGTTCTAAATAAATGCTCCTTTCAACACAAGTTATTAATTCTGTCAACTTCTAGTCTTATTTTAAAGAAGTAAATGAACAAGGAAGTTATGGGATTATGGCAAGAAGAATCTTCCATTTGTAAGGAGTAAAACTGTACCCATGTAAAAGCTTGGGTTATGGTCTCCTTTTGCCCTGTCACTGCTTATACCTGTTAAGTTGTTCCTGAAGCAGATCCAATCTTTGTTCCACTTCCCCATAGGTGAGGTCACTTTCGGTTTCAGAGATACCCCAGGCAGCTCGCTGAAGTGCGGATGGACTGGAGTCTTCAGGCCGGGGATGTGCATTTTCTCGTTCCCAGCTTCTCATATCAGTGATGTCTGTGGAAAATAGCAAGATGGATGTCAAGCCTCTTAGGTGCCCTTTTGTGTCAATAACACATAGATATCCACAAGACAAGCTGGAAAGGATTGGAGTATAACCTGAGAGACAGAGAACAAAAGTGTTCAGTGATGTGTCCAGGGGCCATGACCAATTGGCAGCAGAGTCCCACTCTCACTCTGCCGGCCCTACCTCCCATATCAATTTCCATGTGAACAAAAACATGTAGCAGGTCCTGAGTGTTGATTAGGATTTTATTTTCTTTCTTTTTGTGCTAGGAAAAGAGAAGAACAGCCAAACCAAAACTAATTAGAGAGCAATGATTCTGTGCTTTTATAGTTGGAAAGCAGCAGCATAATTTGTTTGCACTGCATTACCTAGGGTTTAAGATTTTTAGGGCTCTTTTCCACAGCATGAGTTGCATACTTACGACTTAAAGTGGGCCCAAGAAAAGAGCCTTAGAGGAGTGCTGATCTTCAGGGGGATTCCCTTCAGCCAACCCAACTCAAATACAGCCAAGGGCCCTAAGCCATGAAAAATGGGAAGAGTCTAAAAAGTCCCTGGGTCCCCAGCTACTGTTTCATGTTTTTATGCTTTCTTGTAGCCCTTTCTGTGCTGCCCTTTACTATAATTTCATTGTTTTCTAGTATGTTTTTCTTGTGGTTCTTTTATTTTAAATATTGCTATGTTACTCTACTTTAAAATAAACTATTTGTTCAGGTCTACTATTAAAATGTTCTAAGTGTCTATTATGGGCCAGACACTTGATAAATATGGAGGAATTAAAGATGAAGGTGACCATAGACCCTGAACTTGAAGAATTCAGTCTAACAAGGTTGTGATCGCTTTCACATAGATACTGATTTTCTAAACTTTTTAAAATTTCCTATTTCTCCTACAATCTCTATTTTTAAGCTCTCAATGTGTGCGGGCAAATTTGTCTTTCCTCCCTCATTTTTGTCGTATATTTTGGATGGTTTTGCTGATCTCTTAACCTCTAAGAATGATTAACAGGTTGGAAGTAAAACTTAAGAAAAATACTACTGGAGGTGGGAGTTGACTTTGGAGATGAAGGAGAAACATTTTCCTTCACTGGGAGGGCTAGTAGGAAGGAAAGACTATCTAAAGCTCATATTCATTTTCACATGGAAAGAGATTTGAATACAGAAAGTGATTTTGGTTTGATAGAAAGGCCTAAAAAAACTTGACAAGTATCTGTGATTAAACACTGAGAAAAGTTATGTAAAGTTATGGAATTCTTGGCTATTTAAATTTGGACAGAAAGCAACTGAATTGGGTAGGATTAGCTATAATTTTAGAAATAGGAAACAAGAGCATTGGACTTCTCAAAGTTCCTTTCTTTCCTACAGTTTCTCCAGGGGTAGTTTAAATGCATCCCCTTTTCTCCAAGTAGAAGACAGACATGTCGATATTCTTTCTTCATGGTTTTCCTCTCACTCATTATCTTTTATCATTGAATATATAGAAATTTCTCAAATGAGGTGTCTATAATTTCTGTCTCAGTAGGGTGAGGCTTAACAAAGGAATTAGCATATCCAAAGTCAGCATTAAATATAGAATAAGAGTTCCTTCTTGGGCAGAAATGGCTAACAGACCTCAGAAGGCTTGCTTTGAATTCCAGAAAGACTCTTCCTGACTACATCTTTGTTACTATAGGGGTCCTGGTTTCATTATTTAAAGTGGCAGTTTACCATTTCTTTTGACATTTTACCAAACGTAGCAAAATATAAGTGAACTAAATAAAATATTGTTGAAGTTTTAAGCCATTTATCTGCAGATTTTCACTGAGAAGTAGTATTTGTTATTTACAGACATTTGAACATGTTTAAAATGCAAAACAATAATGTCTTACCAAACTGGGTTTTAAAGATTGGGCCAATAATGCTAAATAAACCTCCAGAATGTCTATATAAATGGTTTAGTGATGCTGATGCTTGTCTCTGTCTAGTCTGCTGCTAGCTATTTAATGTAGAAATCTTTCTTTTGAGAAAGCAAGAACTAATAAGATTGAAGTTACATATTATGCTCTTAAGTTTTGTGCAAAGAAAGCTTACAGAATTTCTGCCTATGTTTAACAGCTCTCTTCTTTCCAAATCATATATAATAAATTGACTTTTAAATGACAATGGTGAATCACATGCAATACATTATGGAGGATTATATTTTTTCTTCAGGGGTCAAGAAAAATAATTACCTTATTAGAAATGAATGAAATGTACACTCTTACGGTATACATGTAGTTCCATGATTATAATTCTTTTTTGAAAATCTGAAGATATGTAATTAGCTTGCTTTAACAGCAATATAAAAAATGAGGAGTTCAAAGGGGGAAATCCTGGTTAGTGGTCTTAATCAAATGAACATCCTTGTAGACACTTTCTAAATATAGCTCAGAAAGAATCTGCACTTGGTTGCCTTGGAAAATGTTGCTATAGTTGCAAGACACATTTCTGGGAATGGATGAACAGAAAGTAAACTTTCACATTGCTCTGAGTAGACAATTTTCCTAGAGTCAACTTTTGACCTCAATCTAAGTAGCAACAGAGTCCATTTAATCTGTTCTCTTTTCACTTTAGTTTTGCCTAAATGTGCCCCTCTGTTGGATTGAGCATTACAAATGTCAGGAATATGAGTGAGTGAAATTTCCTATTGATGGTGAAACTAAAATTTGTGGGGTTTTAGTAGTTTGAACTGCAGCAGTGATGTCACACCTTATTTATTAATGCAATATGTCACTTTAAAAATCATTAGGAATTTTGAAATCATTTGACATTTGCAGTGAATGAAGTTTTAGAATTCCCCATTGGTTAATGATATTAATTAGCCAGCCTAACCATGTGTCACACTGATTGAAGCTATATGACATCAATTCAATTGATCTGCATATTTGGCTATACATTTTCAAGATTATTATTTGAATAGGAATTACCCTATAAATTTTTAAAAATTAGAATATATAGGTATTAAATTTGTTAGAATACTATTTTTGTATATATGGAAAAGCTAATTAAAGATAGTTGGAAGAGGTAGCAAAGAAAAGTATTAGAAGAAGGGCCTGAGAATTCATTGTCAGAGAGAGTCATTATACAGTCAGAAAATCCCCAAATTTATCTTTAATAATTTGCCACTTGAGACTCTAAAACTCAAGAGGAAAACAACAAGCATTTTTATTAGGTTCACATTATGTTGACCTTTGGAGATGGTAGAGATGGTTCAGCAAGTTCTTCAGAACTTCTGACTTCCATGATACCACCTGTTTCTATTTTTAGCACTTCCCAGAATCCATTTTCATAAATAACTAAAATAGGACATTTGGTAATCACATTTAATATTCCATTCTTCCATTGTGATAAATGAGGTACTATTTTCATTCACTTCATCAAGATTTTAGATTGTCCAGAGAACACTTGCATATATTCTTAGCTTACTTCAATGTGGGGTCATGAAAAAGTGGATGTGACATGATAGAGAAAGCAACTCTTGAAAAATATAAAGCCTAAACATCCTAGATTCAATAAAATCTTTGTAGCTGAATATGATATTTTGGAATAATGAGGATAAGTAATATTTACTTACTCTGCATTAATGTACTAATTTTGCTATCCTACCAGGCCTAGAACTTCCTATTTTCCTTTATTTTTAAAATATTCTTTTGATGCTTTGTCATGCCTTCTTAATCTTTATATTTCTATACATCCAGGGCTATATTAAATTATTAAAACTTGAAAAGTAAAGCCTGTGAGAAAATACTAACAGTTGGGGACTTTATTTCAGAAAAGTAATTTACATATTATCTTAATAACCACAGCCTAATTGGTTAAATAATATTATTCCTCTTTTAGTGATGCACAGAGTCTTAGTCGGTTTGATCAAATCATTTACCCAAAGACATAAAGGGAACTAATGTCAGAGCTGCGCCTGGAACCCAAGCAGTCTGACCCACACCTGTTACTGGTACCACTTACTAGCTAGATCTGTAGATCTAGCCTCTAATAGGCTAAAATAGTTTTTTTTTTCCATGTAATAGTTCTTAAAATTTTTCAGAATTTCTCATTTTTATCATTAAACCTGCAGCTACTAATCAAGCATTATTACTCAACTCATGTACATTTCCTACAACAAAATCTTTTCATTTGGGTATTTCTTTTGGTAGGGATGCTAAACCAGAGTTAGATTCAAGACCATACTTTATTTGAAGCCATTTTTCCCCAATCTTTCTCATATTTTCTGTAAAGTTAAATTTTAGTTGGCATGTATTACAGTGTGATTGCATTGGCCTCTCATACTATAATATTATAAGGTTGGGGGTGAGAAATGGGTACAAAAGATGCATATAAAGGACCAGTTGGTTAGCTGTCTGAAAATACTCATTGATCCTCTCTCCCCATTGAAATCACTACAATAGACTTTCCCACAGTTTTCTACCTGACATTATATTGAGTCTGGTTGGTCACGAAAACCTCTCACGCTGTAAATTTTTGGGCATAATTACCACTTGTTTTAGAACAGTGCAAACACTTGGTAGATGATCTGAAATCTGAATGTTTCGCAAACATTTCATGAAGATGAAAACAATTAGATTAACATGTGTCAGTACAGTTCTTAATTTGTAAAAAGTCACCATTTGTGATTAGCACTGAAGAAAGGTCACCTGATGTCTAACTCTGGATTACCTTTGCAAGAGTGACTTCTTTTATCTATGTGCATTCTTCCTGAGGTGGGCACTGTTTCTTCAAAATCGAGCCCAGATGCTTTTCCTATTCCTGGAGAAGAATCTACTATTCCTGAGAAGAGCGGCTTTTGTTCATCATCAATGGAGGAGATGAAAGATGACGATCTGCTTTTTTTTTCTTCAAAGTGTCTCTTGGAACTCTGATAATGTCTTATGGTATCTGCAGAGTCTTCAGGATCATTTGTACTGTTTTCTTTGCCAAAATATATCAAAGAAAAGTTATTTTATAGCAGATAATTAAATGTGAGACTGTATGCATATTACACTACCTAGCTATATATAAACTATATATATATAGCTGCTATATATAAACTATATATATATATATAGTTTATATATAGCTTTCTCCTATTGAAAATATAGCTACTTAGATACTTAATTTTTTTAATTCAAGGGTTATTAGATTATCTTAGTGAAATAAATTATTCATTTCAAAATTAAAAGACTATTTACAATAGTAATAATGTTTATGTCTCAGAGGAAAACTGTAGGATAACTTACAAACTTGTTTAACGTGCTCAACAGTTACTTGTATTCTGAGAATCTGGTACACGCTTTCTTTAGGGAAATGAAAAAGACAAGGGAAAATGTGTCCCAATTTTAAAATATCACCACGATGCAACTTGTTATGTATTTCTTTTTAACCTACATGTCCTATCATCTGTTTCAGCTGCTCATTCATTGCAAAAGTCAAAATTGGAAGCCTCCTTGTAGTAAAAGGCTGGCAGGCTGAATTTCAGCCTTAGTCCGATGCATGTAATGGCCTTGGCATTCCAAGAAGTTTGGTTGTGTAGCATAATGCAAAGAATATAAAGCTTAAATACAGTAATTAAGGTAGGTTTTACCTAATTACATTAAAGCTGGTAGTACATATTGGCTGTTTTATACTGAAATGTCAGGATAATTTCAGTCCTGAAGGTTGTGTTAGAACATATTTCAGCAGGAAAAACTCAAAGAGACAAATCCAAGAACTTGTTTCTATTAGTGTCCTGGGGAGACAGTATAATTCTCCATCTGGTTTCTGTTAATAACGAACCAACAAAACTCCAGAAGGTTTATCATTTTCTGGAGAAATGGTGAAGACAGTGTCCCCATCCACTCTGCGCCTGAGTGTGCTTATTTGGTTATTTATAGAAGGCCAAATGAACCGATGGAAGGCCACGCCAGAGAAACTTCCAACTGTCTTTAAAAATTCCCATATGGCAAAGAAATTCAACAAAGATTTTGTCCCTTTATTTTTTAAATCATACTTTAAAATATGAAAAGCCAGAAAGCAGCCCAAGGTAAAAGGAGATGAAATTTAAAACTCAGCTTTATGTGTAATTGTTATTGAGGTGTTTATGTTCTGTCAATTAAAGTTAAATCTAGCGAAAGCAGATTGCTTATTTTCTTTAAGATTTCATGCTTGTTCAGTGATTTCATCATTGCTGAGAAAGCCACAGACCTTTCCGAACTCCAGTGTTACAGACGTCATTGATTACTTACTGTTACTTGTATATCCTCACTCAATCATTAATCTAATTGGTTGTAAATAATCGGATCAAGTGTTCTTACAAAAAAACTTTTCTCTTCAGTGTCATTGGCACAGACCTCCTTAAACCTTTAAACTTTTATTTTGCCATCTTCGTCCCAACTTAGTTTTTAACTTCTTCCCTTCTCTAAAGCCCTCTAAAAATTTGATAAACGTTCTCTACTTTTTTAACATATTTTATTCCTTAAAAAACCTGGGTGTGGTGGTTCGCACCTGTAATTCCAGCACTTTGGGAGGCTGCGGTGGGTGAATCACAAGGTCAGAGGTTCAAGACCAGCCTGGCCAACATGGTGAAACCACATCTCTATTAAAAATACAAACATTAGCCAGGCGCTTGTAATGCTAGCTACTAGAGAGGCTGAGGCAGAGAATTGCTTGAACCCAGGAGGTGGAGATAGCAGTGAGCTGAGATCCCACCACTGCGCTCCAGCTTGGGCAACAGAGCAATACTCTGTCTCAGAATAAATAAATAAATAAATAAATAAATAAATAAATAAATAGTTATAAACTTTGGGCTAGTAAATGTGAAAAAAAAAAAGTTTCATCTTTCTAAATTGTCCTCTATCTGGTTTGTGAATTGCACCAGTTTGCTCCTCCTAAGTAAACCTTTTTGTAGTCCCTGACTTGGGAACCAAAAATATTTGAATCAGTTCATGCCTCTTATTTTCTCAAAAATGTTTTCATTTCTACACTTTTTTGGAATGTTTTCCAGCAGCATTAGTGTAAGCTGAAATAACCATTAATTCACATGCTTCCAATCGAAGCCTGGATAGTGCTAACATGGATATTGGTAATGAATGCACCTCACAAGTTAATAAACCACTTTGTCTCTTTGGCTTAATAGGCCTTGGGGAATCCTTACACAAGGTAGAATGTTCTGTTCTACTTACCATTTTGGGCTCCAGTCTTAGTTTGCTAATTTATGGCTTGATTTTGGATGTGTATGAACCAGATTCACCAGTTAACATGTATTGTTAAATTGAATTATAACTTGGTGATTTCATCTTGAACATGTACTTACAAAATGTGGTGAATGAGGAATTACTATCATTTAGTTTCATAGTAAAATGGAGAAAATTACTTTGCATATATAGGACAGAATTCTTCAGCAAAATTTCAGGTAAAAGCAGAATCAGGTAAAAGAAGAAGTAAAAATTTGATGTCCTTGAATTTTCCCCACTGGTAAAGTGAAAATAAAAAAAAAAAACCCAACCCCTACATTATTTCTGTATTCATTGCTGCTGGACTATCACCCAAGCCATATGAACAATTTATTTGATACAACCCCACTGAAAAAGCATTTTTTTTCATTACATACTAGATAAATTAAAGCTTCATTTTCTGCCACATAAAATGAAAGTTGAAATGACAATCTATTTGTGGATTAAAAATGGAAACTCTTCAGGCTTTGGCTGGAAATTGACTGATGTAATATGTACGTGAAATTGGGCAGTTGAAATGCATTATAATTAGCCTCCAGGTCCTTCTACATTTTGATGGACTGTACTATTTTTGCCTTGTTCTGGTTAAACTGAATTATTTGATAGACATTAAATAGCACCAGGTACTATTTTTTTTTCTTAATTCTATTTATATCCTATGTAGAAATAATATTCTAAGGGCAGTTATCTGATTGCATAATCTCTCCTGTTACCATCATTTTATACGAAGAAAAATTCTTGCCTGCATAATTAAACCTCAAATTTGCTTTTGATTCACAAGACAAAAAACCTTTTTTTCTCCCTTATTTTTATAAGCAAGCAGTTCATCCCCTCCTCTTTTTCCTCAGAACACAATTCTAAAGCATTTGTGACTTGTCTGATGAGTGTCTCTCTGGGTTTAGAATGGATTCAAGAGCATAGAGTAAGTGTCCTAATGGAATGGCTGACCCATTTCTCTAAAGAATGATAATATAAAATCCTTCCTTTCAAAAACCTGTAATAAACATTTGTGCTCACTCCATCTTTTATGCAGTCTTCCTTTCAGATTAATTACCATTTGTATTTGTCAGACCCAAAAGGGAGGCAAGCTTTGGTCAAAGAGAAGCATTTATGGTGCTCTCTTGGCATTTGAGTTTTACATTTCCCACTGGTGACAATTGAGAAATAATTTGAGAAATTCCCAACCAGATGCCTTGAAAAATTATTACATTGGAAAATTGGAGTTTAAAATATATTTTTTAATTTAAGATCACATATGTTAGCCCCCCCATAGCTCTAAAGGATGTTGAAAGAGGACTAGATGCATATGTTTTATACAAATACAAAAATTAACAATTTTAAAAATTAAAATAAAAGATGCATTTGGGGAAACATTGGTTTAAAGGTAAAAAGTTTCAGATATGCATAACAGACAAATTTTGGCACTCTATTCTATAGTATGGTAACTATAGTAAATATATTATGTACTTGAAGGTTGCTACGAGATTAGATATTAAATGTTCTCCTGACATAAACACACACACACACACACACACACACACACAAGCACACACACTGTTAACTATCTGAGTAATGAATGTGCTAAATTAGCTTGAGTGTGATAATCATTTCATAATGTATACAAATATGAAGACATCACTTTGTATACCATAAATATGTACTTTTACATATCAATTATACCTCAACAAAGCTTGAAAAAAATCAAAAGATACTTTTATGGATCACTAAAATGGATAATAAAAAGCTAAGCATTATTTGTTATTGAGGAAGATATTTCAAAGACATACCGAAGTATAATACCAATATATTTAAATAATTTAATAAAACTAGAATAGAATTATCCCTATTCTATAAAAACAAGTTTATCAGTGAATACATTTACCCCTTCAATAATTTTCATAGGAGTTATTTTATTTTCGAGAATTACTTTTAAAACTTACTGGTTTTTGGATGGCAATGGAAAATCACTAAACCAGTATTGCAAAGTGATAGCATTTATTAGTATCCTTTGAAATGCAAAATGTAATGAGTTCAAGACACTTTCACTCTATTTTCTGAAACACTGGATTTTTCCTGTTGAGTAAATATTGAAGAGCTCATTTTAATAAGATTACATGGGTAGGGAAATGAGTAAAGTTTTCTTCCTTGCTCTTGGGATGTGTGTATCTCTTGAAAAGCGTTCTTGTTTGTGTTCCTGCGTGCAGACTCATTTCGTCCAATCTTTCATACTGATTTACAACTCTTCCTTTGTTACACGCAGATCTTTAACACTGTTTCAATTTTTTACTCGTGTGACTTTTTTGTTTTCTTTTGTTTTTCATGCTTAGCAGTTTGTTCTTTACAATGGAGTATACTATGAATATCTATTAGCAAAAGTAAGAGGGTCGTTGGAGCTCCGAGAATTATTTCCTAGCTTCTGGAAATCAAGAAGGTAAGAATATTTCCAGGTTAGGAAGGACAAACTCAGTATTCTTTAACTTCACAGGCCAATGTTCCTTTTGCTAAGAAAAATTATTTTCTTTCTGACTCAATAATTTTTTCAAGTCCTATTTAATTGAGGCTACTTGCCAACTTTATTCTTAAACATTGTTCTTTATGCTTTTGGGAAAATAAGTAGGAAAAGATATAGAGAAGGGATAGTAAGAAGAATGGGTTCAGATACTTCTGCAGAGTTCTGATGAGGAATGGGAGGCAAAGGAATCAATGCCAAATCTGTTGGTTTGGGAGATGTGACCTCAGGTGACCTCAATGCTTTAGTTAAAAAATATAGCAATAGGATTTCTCTTAAAATGCATAACATCAGTGAGAACTAATTTTCACAATGCTTGAGGAGTTTCCAAGGAATAAAACTAATAGAGTAAAAAGTTTCCTCTTCAAGGTTCTCTTTCCTCCTACTTACTACTTGTTACAAAATAGTACAAATAATTTCTGCAGAATTCTGTAGAAACACTTAATTTTTTTCTGCTAAAGTAACCAGAAAATGTAATGAAAATTAAAGAGGGTAAGTATGCAGATACTAATTACAATTCAGAAGGAATTTCCATTTGTCTCCTTGTTAACCAATGAGGAATTCTCTCTAAAAAGTTGGGACAAACTATTGAAAACTAAAGTAGAAATAAACATGAAAAGACTCAGGGCACTGAGCACACAGTGGATACTCAATGATAATGGACTCCAAGTAAACATGTGATTATTTGTACCTGGTTACACTGCTGCCCTCACTGGATTATTCTCTGCCAAAAGGTCGCAGGCACCCTAATTAGCCATTAGTGGCCACTTTGATACTGTATTTTCTGTCAACAGAAAGGGTTGAGCAGCACACTGCAAATATTTGGTCATATAAGCCCTGTAAGTAAACATACATAAATGTTTGTGTGTAGTGTATAATGGCACATTGTGTATATATATGTATGTATGTATATATATATACATATATACATACACATTTATGTATTTTATAATATATAAAATACTATATACATATGTATATTTAGATATCCTGTGCCATTATACATGCTATTTTACAAATAAATCTTGTATATTATGCAATATGCACAACATAGAATTTTAGAAGAATTATTACTCCTATGACCTATTGGACTTGGCTCATACTGGAGTAGGCACAGTCAACTTTTCAGACCATGTAAATAGAGGTGACTTTTCAGCATTTTTCTCATTTATTTATCTTCTGCCCAGGCATCTTAACAATGCTCATGGCCACTGAGCAGATCAATGAAGCATCATTTTTGTTCTTCACTTCTGTAATAATATTGTACTTCCATCTCAGGAACTGTAGCACTTCTTTCTGCAATGAATGTTGTCATATTGGGGCAGTTCTGGGCACCTCTATGCCAGAATTTTAGGAAGAAAAGATACCTACTTGAAGAAACCTTTAAAAATACAAGGTGCTCTCAAGTTTCTACCTGCATTTACAAATCTCTCCTGTAGGGAAGTGGGATTTTTCCTTAGACAAAAAATATACAACTCATGAGAACAAGCCACCCTCATCGACAAATTCATTATGTATTCAATATGAGTGTATAATTTGTTTTTCAGCTTGCCAGAGGTTCTAGATATTCATTTAAAAATTGTATCTTATTCTATCTGAGCTCTTTAGCACCTTACAGTAGGCATGATTGGAAGTGGAGTGGCAGGAGGCAGGTGTAGATTGAAGCCTGAAATTTTCCATTGTTCACTCAGTAGGTAGATAGTGGCAATGCAGGACTCAAACTTTGTCTGCTGCCAGTGACCGGCAACATGGTCTTCCCTCTAGTTCTTGATGCCACAGCTGATTTACAGTCATCAACACTCTTGAATGTCTGCCTTCAAGGTTTCCTTTCATATGAATAATAAACTAATACTACATAAATGAATGCATTTCAAGGGAAGATTTTAGTTTCTGTATCCACAAATCGTTTATCATCAATGATCCCCTGGAAGTTCTCTTTTCTTTATATTATGTGTATTTTTCTCCCATATGTTGATGCTACATCAGGAAGTATAAAATGAATGCCTACCTTAAGAGCATTAGATTTGGATGACAGGGACTAAATTGATTTCATCAAATTTTATAATTGCCCACAGCACCCTGGATTCCTAAAGACTTTGGAATAGGTTCTTGGGCTCTGGCTAACTGGAGTTGTGTTTTCACATTGACCAACTCATGATAATTTACTGGCACAACCAGGAAACTTCAAAGAGCTGTAGGCAGAAAATCCCTTCACATCTACACTTTATATAAAATTGTTCTCATAGACTAAGCCTGCAATTAAAGGGACAGTATTCAAAATCAGCAGAAGTGTCTTGTCGCATGAGCACAGTACAAATTGTGGCATTGCTCTCAGGGCCTTATCAGGAGATAAAAACATTAGATTATTTAGCTTAAGAATGAGGAAACCAAACAAGATTGAAAGGAGATTTAACAAACCTTCACCTATGTGGAGGACCTAATGATATTGACAACATTGTTAACCTGTTTTTCATTTCCAGTGAGATAAAGAGATGAACTTCAGGATAAGGAATTTAGATTAAGTCTGTGGAAGAACAGCTTAATAGTAATGGTTCTGATTTTAGACAAATCACCAAGAAAATAATTAAAGACATTGCAGAACAAAATGATCAACTATCTATGAATAGTCTATTGTTCTGCCATCAGCCAGGGGAAACAATAACTAGTCCAATTCAACAAATATTTCTCAAACATTCTTTGCTAAAGTAATCTACAGTTTATCAAAGGAAAAGGAAAAAGATATACCAGCCACTGTACAGAGCATATTTTGACAATATTATAAGAGGTAAGCACTTTGAGAATTCATAAAAGAAAGAGAACCTTTACATGTGAGGAGATCATGAAACAATTCACATTAAATATATCATTGGAGATATTGATTAAAAATGTAATTTTAGTGGATGAAACTGGTATGGTATGATATTGTGTATGTATGTGTGTGTGTTTGAGAACAGGGAAGCAAATTTTAATGAAAGGAAGAGTATAAGCAAAACCACAGAAACAATGTACATGGAGGAGTGGGCAGTTTGTTTCCATTGAAATGTAGAGCAAGCTAAAGCTAGTAGATGATCTCTTCTAGAAAGAGGATTCATAGAGGAGGAAAGACGTGAAAAAAAAGAACTTGGCATAAGAAGGCAAGAAAAGGGAAAAGAATAAAAAGGAAGATGCTCAAATTCTATTTCATTTATTCTTTTCACAGATGTTTTTTGAGCATCCGCTGTGCAGCAAGCACTAAAACTACAGGGGGCCAAATATTTTCCACTTCCACAGAACTTATGATCTAGAGGTTGACAACATTGATTAAATAATGATGCAAATAAACCCAGAAGCACAATTGGAGTAAATGTTGCCGAAGAGATGAACTGCTGGGGAAAGAAGAGGAGTGATGGGAGTAGTTAAGGGGAAGATATTATGAGATAATATCTTACTGAAGAGGTAAGTTAAGACCCACCATATTAAGTATTTAGGGCATGGGATGTCCTTGGAGGGCTTTGAATATGTGAGTGACATAAAAATAACTGCATTTAGAAAAAAAAAATCACCAGAAGTCCAGTGTGGAATAGAAGAGAGAGGGGCAATTGCATGTGGAAAGGCAAGTTGGAAGGCTGCTTCAATATTCCAGGTGGCAGATTATGGTAGCTTGGCCCAAAGCTGTGGCTAAGGAGATGCAGGGAAGTGAAACAAAAGAAGTCCTAGTTTGAAGACTAAATGGAGATTTATTGAAGGTAGTAATAATAAGCCTTATTGACAGAGTTGCTGGAGAGGTTTTGAGAAGTTTGGCTCCAAAATATCTGGCTTATGCAATTGGTTGCATAGAGACACCATTTACACAGGCATGGGAATTGAAGAGGGGACAGGATTCCACGGTGCACCATGAGCTCAATTTAGGAAATGTTGAGTTTGAGCTGCCTTTGAGACTTCAGGTAGATGATTTTATGGGCACTTGGATATGTGGGACTGAAGCTCAGGTGGTCTGGGATTAATACGTAAATATGCACATCTCCTATGTGAGGATATAATTAAATGATGGACATAAATGGGACCACCCAGGGAAAGAGTATGATATAGAATGAGAAGAAAAAGGGGCCTAGGCTATGCCTTAAAAATGCCAACAAATTAACACTGGTGTAGAAGATAATGATCTTGAAATTATCTTCAGGGAGTTCATGAAAGTAGGTGGAAAATAGGAAGATTGAAGTATTACAGATGCAAAGAAAAGTGTATTCAAGAAAAAGAGAGGAACTGGTTCATAGTGAAAGAGGCAGCTAAGGGGCCAAATAAGGTAAAGACTAGAATGTTTATTGGATCAGCATGGGGCAAGCGTGGAAGCTTCTTCAGGAAAACTTTCTCCCATCTGCCCAGAACAATTAAATGTACACTCATCTGGGTTCCCACTGAGGAATACCTATTCTTGTTACAGAGCCTACTATTTAAGGGTGTGTCTATCTCCCTCTCTAGGGAAGATGAGGGATGTTTTGCACAGCTTATTTCTCAGAATTTTGAGTAGCTCCTTGAAAATGTGAAATGTTAAATAAGTATTTGTTGGCTACGTGAGCAAAGCATAAAAAATAGTCAGAGAAGCAGAAAAACCTGGAGAAAACAAGAAGTGACAACTGACACAGAGCCTGAGGATGAGAAGGACTAATAAATGTGGCCTTCATACGTGCTTGTGGGGCATGTAAGAGGATTGTTCTGTTGGTCTGAAATGAAAGTCCTCCTTTCAGGACACTGCTCAGAACTATAATGCATAGTCAACTATTATTAATTGACCATCTTTTAAAAATCAATATACTCTATTTCTTAATCTGTGATATTCTTGTGAATATCAGATGGGTTCGTTGAATGATATCGTTGAGAACTATCAATCAGAAACTGGAAACCAGATCATTGGCTACTGAATAAAGCAAACGATCTCCTCTCCTAAAGCCTGAGTAAAATTTACTTTCGAAATCAGAAGTATAATGAACATTTAAGTAAGAAGGCTAATTACCATATCCTCTGCATTTAAACTGTAGGAATGGAATGAATTACCTCTGCCTCCTTCACTTTCGAATGACAGTTTCCTTCTCCGTAGTTTACAGTTGTCTCCTTCGGAATCATTCATGGACTGTGATCGTAGGAGATCAGCCTTTGTTAATGGAACAGGAAGATAAAATGAAAGATTACTAAATTAGAACATAATGTACTATTAGTAAACTACTATTTCATATTGTTTGAACCACCTTGAGAATTATTATTAGATTGCAGGCAAACAGCTACAATACTTTGCTTAATACTTGTTTCTTTTTTTTTTTTTTGAGACGGAGTTTCGCTCTTGTTACCCAGGCTGGAGTGCAATGGCGCGATCTCGGCTCACCGCAACCTCCGCCTCCTGGGTTCAGGCAATTCTCCTGCCTCAGCCTCCTGCGTAGCTGGGATTACAGGTATACTTGTTTCTTAATTATAAAATACACTGATAGGACAATTTTTAGTACTTTCACCTTTCGCTTAGGAAATTATAGTGTAGAAGTTATTTATGAGAAATGTTTATGGATGATGTCGACATTTAAAGACAAAATATTTATTTACCTGGAATGTGTTTTATGTGACTGGGTAAAGTTAAAATAAGAATAATACAGTTAACCCTTGAACAATACAGGCTTCAACTGTGCGGGTCCACTTATACATAAATTTTCTTCTTTCTCTGCCATTCCTGAGACAGCAAGACCAATCATTCCTCTCCCTCCTCTTCCACAGCTTATTAAATGTGAAGATGATGAGATGATGATCTTTATGATAATCTACTTCCACTTATTTAATGGTAAATATATTTCCTTGTCCTTATGATTTTCTTAATAACATTTTCTTTTCTACAGCTTACTTTAAGAATATAATATATAAAAATATGTACAAAATATGTGTTAATTGACTGATTAGATTATTGGTAAGGCTTCTAATCCGTAGTAGGCTATCAGTAATTTAAGTTTTTGTGGAGTCAAATGTTATATGTGGATTTTCAGCTATACAAGGGTTGGTGCCCTGAATTCCCATCTTGTTCAAAAGTCAATTGCAGTAATTTAAAGAACTTTGCTTAACTTACCATACTCTAAAGAAAAATGTATAAACTAGTTAAAATTAGCTATGATGTTTAAATGACATGGTAATTATCACAAGGTTAAATGTCACAACAATAAATATAAGGTCGAATTCCATAAACATTACACTTTGAACTCTTTATTGTTTTGCTCCCAGCTCCTCCTTCTTCCCTCTCTGGTTCATTCTGTCTAATATTGTCTACCTTGTAAATAAAAATGGAAGCTCCCGTTTATTTGAGTGACGATGAAACTTTTATATAAATAAGTTAAGAGAGGTAGATATTTTTCAAGGCAAAGTCAGAATGAGGTTGGTGACATAAAACTGGGATTGTGACAAATTACTGAATTAAAACCATTATAAAAACATATGCTATTAATGACTAGACTTTTTCCACCTCAATTAAAAAAACCTTTTCAGTGCTTTAAAAAGAAATAATTATTTGAACTGGCACATCAGGATATTAAATGGTCTCTAGAGGTCCTTAAAATTTCTCTTTCTCTTTTAAGCCTCTCATGGTACTTGGAAATGACTACAAATACAGAAAGTATTAAATCTACCCCGTTTTACCTAACTATTGACTTTAGGATTTTTTTCCCCAGAGAATATATTAGTGACCATTTAAATACACTGGCAAGTATCAGACACTCAGTATTTGATTTCTGATTTTAAAAAGCATTTAGAATTGGAGTGGAGTTGTGAAATTTTGAAGGAAAAAGGATGGAAGAGGAATAACCTAGTAATAAAATTTGGGTTACAGCATAAGTTTTATAGCCATAGAACAGTAATAGCTCATAAGGGCACATTTTCACAGCAAAAAGTTGTGAGAAGCATAAGGGCTATACTCGAAGTTTATTCTAGGTTAACTTACATTTACAATTATTTAAACTGTTATTTCTGTTAGACCATATATTCTTCATTCTGCAGCATTAAAACTGACAATACTGTAAAACCTGACTAATTTGTACTTCTCTGATTTGGAAATTATATTAAATAGAAAACTAAATTTGAATGAGATTTTTTTCATTATTATTGTGAAGACATTGATAACCAATGTATAGTATAAATAATAGCTGAGAAAACATTTTAACCTCTGTATAAGACAAACTCAAGCAATTTTCAACAGCTTAAAATCATTCATTTCTAGCAAATAATTGGCACACTATAAACAAAGGCTATTTTAACTCAGGTATGTCATCTAACAGTTTCTACAAGATAGAACCTAATTGATCTACTTGAAATTATTCAACATATTTGAAAGCGATTAGGCTATATTTTTTTGCTTTAGTTCATAAATTTGAATATTCACCTGGCCTTTCATTCCAAATATTCAAAATTGGCAAACTTTTGCTGCAATATTTTGCTTGATTTTTCAAAAGAATTTGTGCAATTCAAGAATAAAATAAAAAGTCAGAAATATAAAAATAAGCAAACAGTTAACATATACCTTTGCACTCTCATGCCTTAGGTTGAAAGTCAACTCTAGATTTGTTAGAAAGTGATCAGAAAACTCAGGATACATATCCAAAACCTCTAGCAAGTCTTCTCGCTGAATCTTATGCAAGTCACAGTATGTGAGGGCTCTTACATCTGCATTAGACTTTCCAGGTTTGGCATAAAGATGAACCATTTCTCCAAATATATCGTTTTTTCCTAAGAAAAGGAAAAGACAAGAAAAAGAGGCTGAGAAAGGGAATCCAAATTCAATGATTTCCTTCTAAAAGTAAAAGGGGGTCATTAAACAATTAATCAATCCCTGATCCAGAGATTTCAAATGTAAGAGCCAACAGCCCACAGACACTTGGGCAACAAAGTTTCAGCACCTCAACTAAATGTCCAGCCCATGTTTGTTGACTGGAATTTTGTCTCTAAGGGTGACTGGTCTTTTTATTTCCTTATTTTGATTATTTGGCTAAGCATCTAGAATGTAGCAAACATACCTTCAGTCCAGTATGACCCACTTTGCTCGCACAGGGTCTTGCCATAGAGTATTTTAAAGATACTTTCAGGTAGGTGTGCTCTGATTTTGTCAATCCACGAATATTAGAAAGGCCACAGTGAGTCAGATTCATAATCTTTCTGTCTTGGGATGGTCTCTGCAGGTGATGCTGAGCAAGGGGTTATGGTGGAGTTGTTTTAACACATAGCAGATTGGTGGAACAACTGGAACACACCTTCTTTCCTAATACCACCTTTGAACTTGCACTTAGTAAGTATATCCAATTGCTTAATAAATCTGGTTATATTTTCTCAACATACGTAGTCCTGCTTTTTGTTATATGGCCTTTGTTTGGGAAGTCTGTCCTTCTTGCTCTTCTGTAAAATCTAGGATTTTTTCAGTGTCTAACTTCTAACAGGCCTTCCCCATCACCTCTGCCTAGTCACATACGACCTGCTTTTGAAGGTCTTTATGACAAAGATAAGAACAACAGCAACAATAACAAATATTTATTGAGAACTAGTAGATGCCAGGCACTGTGTCAAATGCTTAGGTGTGTTGCTTCAATTTATTCCTAAAATAATTTCATGAAGGAATTACTCACAATTATCCCAATTTTATGAATACAGAAAGCATGAAAGAGATAAACTAATTAGTCTAACATCACCTTCTTAGTTGAATGAAGTGGAGGGAGGGAGAGAGCAGCCAGAAGTAAATCCTATGCATCCTGACTCCAGAGCCAAAGTTCTTACACACCTGATACTGTATATTTAATCTCCTTCCAGTGATTTCCCTGAATGGCATGGCCACTTAGATTTTTCTGTTTCTGACCATCAAAGTACTTAAAATTGTACTTGTGGTATCTATACTTAATAAATACTGATATATTACTTGATTTTATAACTTTTAAAGATAATCAACGGCAATGTAAAACAGTGCTCTCTTTTATCTATCCTGAAGCTTCTTTTTATTTTTAGAAAAAACTCCTTGGGTATATTATTTTAGTTTTTGGTAGACAACTTCATGTATACTTCACTGTAGAAGCTATCAAAGACTTTTAAATAATAAGGTTCTAATTAATCAAAAATGCTGTAATCTTCTTGTTTTACAAGGGAATTCAATCGTGAGAAATTGAACACCATATCCTAATTTTGTAAGAAATACTGACATTAGAAAGGATACATTAACCACAGTTTAAATAAATATGTATCAACCTTCCAAAAACAGGATAAATGATCATAATTTATAAGGATTTTAGGGGCTGACTTACATGAAAATAGGGACAGAAAAGGGTAATCTCCTGATATTTTTTATAGTTTTGGTAGCTTAGTATATATATTACTGTTTTTAAGAAAGCTCTGAACTATATTAAGCATGGGCTTTGTATTTCAATTATCAACATGACTGTATACGAGCCAGGAGCAAGCCAGTCCATGTATGTGGCTTGGCAACACTCTAAAAGTACTACTTGATGAAGCAAGAAAGCTTGTTACCTTCTTATAGAAGCTAGGACTGGCTGATTTGAAGTTCAGAAATGCAATGAAGCATCCTCCTTCCCTGGCAATACAGCAGGGCAAACTGTCCTGGCCAAATCTAACTTTGGAAGGAGGATCTAGTGAAAACCTAACTTGATTGTGCGACCTCGAAATGATTTAGAATATGTGTTTATTCTTTGTCAGCTTATTGGATAGAAAACCAAATTATACACCCTAGTCAATTTGGGAAATTAAAAAAAAAAGAATAAAAAATTATCAAAATATATAAGAAAATCACTTGAGTATCTTTATTCATATATTTGAGTTCTATTTCATGTCGTACTCTGGTTCTGTATAGCAACAGGGAAAACAGACAACATCCTGTCCTATTGGAGATAACCATCAAATGTGAACATCAAAAACTGAGTGACAGAAAATCATTGAATTCCATGCTCACTATTTAAGTGGAACTGGATAATCCACAGGGGAAAAATGCAAATTTTTATAGAAACTAAGGAAAGACGTTATCATAGAGAGAGGCTTAAACCTACCAGCTATGTGGTAAGAGAAGAAAATAACTGACTGCATTTTTCTGTTTCCTTGTTCCTCCCCACTGTCCTAATATTCTAAAGAAGAACTACAAGTTCACATGGCCTAAATTTATTTTTAAAGAGGCAGATTAAACATGTGCTTTCTTTTCACCCAAACCAGTTGAAGTTATTACTAATTTAGTCTCTTTATCACCGCTATCCCTGGTTGTTATGTTCATAGGTCTATATTAACTACCTAGTTATGGACTGTATAATTCCATTTAATCAAACACAGTAGGTAAAAGTGCAAAAGTGCACAGTGGTTAAATTAAATTCATCAAAACATAAACCCAGTTCATGGCAGGGCTTTGGCACACGCTGGCAAGTATTTCCTGCAACACATATATTTTATTTTAAGATGTTGAAGGATCAAGCATGAAGCTAAGATCCTCTAACATAAAAAAAGGAATATGATTACTATTTTCCTAAATTTGGCTTCAAATGTCTAGGTGGCTGCCAAGAACTTAAAGAGTATCATCGAAGCATTTACACGTCGGAGAAAAAGTGAGACAGTTAAGAAAACATATTTTCTTCAAGGTTAATTTGGTTTGAACTGAATTTTAAATACAGCTTACAAATTACCCACTACTCTTTAACCGTTCTTATAAATACATACATCAGTCTTCTTTCTAATCATTTTAAACTATGCATTACAAGCTAATAACTGAATCCGTCACCATGCACTTCTAAAACACTCACCCAGAATAGCCACCACAATGTCATCTTTGAGAATTTCAATGGAGCCTCTAGATAAGAAATAAAGTGCAGTGAGGACATCCCCACAGTGAACGAGGGTGTCTCCTGGAGGTGCATGAGTGGTCTTGAACTTCATTGCCAAAGCTCTGAGGCAACCTTTACTTGCCCCGCGAAAGGCTTTGCAGTTTTGCAGCAATGTCTGGTTGAGATGTAGACAAATGTCAGCTTGTAAGCATTCTGGGAAACCCTTTAGGACCTGAAGAAAGAAAAGAAAGAGTTTCATACTACCAGCATTCTGGGTATCTCCGCCTGAAATACAGTCTATTTCTTGCTCACAAAACTGCAGGTGTAGTCATTGTCACGCTGGAGTTCCTACAACTCTTCTACCTCGCCTACCTTAATGAATACTTGGTTTGCTAAACATGTCAAAATTTTTAACTCAAATACTTGTTCTCTGAATTAACTGCAGGCATTCAGACTCAATACAAATGCTGTCTCATTAAAATGTAATGCCTACAACTTTTCACACTGCTTCTCTTTCCCTGCATTATGTTACGTGGCATACTGTGCACAGATATAATGCAATGTGACAATTAATAAGACATAACTAATGAAAGGTGGTACAACTAGAAAGACAATCAACCTTTTAAAAGAATCTGAAGTCAATTTAGGTTGCCGTTTCTGGTATACGTCTTAGTTATAATTAGTAAAAATGTTGATCCTGAAATAGTCATGGTATTTGTAAATGTCATATACCAGAGTGTGCTATTAGTTTACAGTATTTGGAATATTTATGTTTCATATACTCATTATGAATACTAAATATTTTGATAAGTACTGAAAATAGAGAAAGGCAAGGAGAACAGCAAAAACACTTTAAAAGTGTAGTCCAATATTCTGAAGTTGAAATTGCACCAGAATTCGCAGAGCATACGTAAGCTTCTAAAGTGCTACTGTTTTGACAGCCTATTCAGGGGCTAATTTAAAACTTGTCGAACAGATTAAACAATAGCTTGTGACAACTGCTACTCAATCTGAACTGAATAAAATTATTTGTCATTTTCACACAATTCTCAGTATACAATGGTTCAAAGACATTCAACTTTTGCTTCTCTGTGTCCTGCTATTTTGAGTGTTGTATGTAGATTTTAATGTTTATGTTGATGTTCTCCTAACAGTACAAGCAGAATTATTTAAATATGCTTTGATGTAGAGGAATGGGACATTGTATAGTGCAATTTATAGTGCAATTATGCAATTTGGAGATTTCCTATCTGTTTGGATCAACCTTGGTATGTAATATATAGCTAAAATAGAGCTAAATGTAATCACGAATTGTTTGTAAGGCAATTCCAATGTATTTGGCTCACAGAGGAACTTCAAGTTAAATCATATGAGAAAAAACATACAATTATTACTATTTTTAAATATTCAAGCAAGCACAAGGATCCTACTATGTATAGCATCACTTTGATGCAAGTAGTCAAACTGGTATATTATAAAGAGGATCAATAATATACCTGAAGCATGATAGTCATGATATTGTGCTCTTGTTTTCTTCACTGTATGGAACACTCACAGAAATGGATAGGGAGTATTTTAGATGAAAATTCATAAACCTGAATTCTAGTCATGGATTTGCCACAGGTTGACTCTTGTACAAGCCACTTCACCAATCTGCGTTTCTCTACCATAGAATCAGAATCTTTGCAACATTGAATTTAACCAAATTTCAATAAATTACTCATAAATAGTGTGCCAATTATTAGACACAGCTCATCCAGCTTGGTGATGCTATAGGAAATCAGGTTTTCATCCTGAAGAGTCTGTATTTCCTGGATCAGGCCAAAAAGAAATATGCCTCCCCTTGATAAGAGTTTCTGGGCACTCATCTGTAATCTCTGCCCTTAACTGTAACCGTTCGGCTTGGTCTATGTGACTGGACTCCTTCCAGGTTCCTTGCTTGATAGAAGACCTCTCCCACATGATAATTTGCCTAGTCGTTTCCTGTTTCTGCCTTTGGTTGCTGGAGGCCCTTCCTCCTCTCTGTTGGAATCTTATATCAACTCAGCTTTTCACATGGAACCAATTGCCTGGGTCTCTGATTGTTTCTACCATCTAAACCACTTTTTTGGACTATTTGGCAAGTGATGGCCCACTGGAGTTGAATACATATGGACACAGCATTCTAAAATGCTGCCCACTTTGCTTGGGGGCCAGCATTTTAGAATGTTGTGGCCAAATTTAGTTAACTCCAGTTTTGGGGTGTAGTATAAAAATAACCTAGTTTATACTGGCCTCTGCATATGAATTACTTTTCCCCGCTTATGCCCACTCCTGTGGTCTCTGAATAATTCTAAGTAACCTCATGCAGATAAAGATGTATAAAGCATTACACCAAGTTAACAAATTAGGTATATCCATCTGTCTCTTATGATTCACCTGTAATAAGGTATATGAACCTTAAGATTCACCTGTAATAAAGTACATATCCATCTGTTTCTTAATATTCACCTGTAATAAGGTACATGAAGGCATTTTATATTTCACATGAGGAAGATATTCCTATGATTATAGTAGTTAGCGTAAGAATACTGAGCTACTGAGCCTGTAGCTGCTACTTCTGGCATTTTCCATGAAGTATCCTTAAGTAAATCTTGGAATAGAAGAAAAATTGTGTGTGTGTGTGTGTGTGTGTGTGTGTGTGTGTGTGTGTGTATGGCTGTGTGTGTGCACACGCTCATACATGTTTATGCAAGCGTGCTTTGAGTTGGAAGAGAGAAAAGAGATAGAGATGAGATTCTCCATTTCCCTGAATGTGTTATATGAGCTATGGAATCAGATAGGCTTGAACAGAAGTTCTAGCTTCATCATTTACTAGTGTGACTTTGGTTAAATTACTTAACTTATCTGAAAATCAGTTTCTTTTGTTGATGAAATTAAATTAATAACATGTATTTCACAGAGTTGTGGCCACAACTTAAATAAGAATGTGTATAAACACTTCTATGCACAAAAAGATTTTTAATAAACAATTTACTGTGGGCTTCCTCTGTTTTTTGGTCACGAATTTATTGTTCCTAAAAATTAGTATGTTCTTTGTAATTAGGAATAGACACGCAAAAATCTCTTGTGTTTTCTCTTTGGTCTGCCTAATAGGATATTCTCCACTAAGTTTTGTGTTCTATTGCCTGAGCAGAGTTTAAATGTTTTGCTTATCATTGCATCACCAGTTTAAGAATTATTTTTCCTTGCATCTGGCTATAACTCTTGTTTCATTTCTGGCTTGTTATATGTCTTGCAATACTTGCACTTAGGTTGTCACTGTGAGTTGCCCTAAATCCCTTCTGAAATTAGACAGTTACTAAAATCAATTTGCAGATATGTTCTTGGAATTCCAATAGGTTTAGAATCACCCACAGAGCTTTAAGCATGCTTCAGAAAGTTTTTTCTTATTAAATGTCCTCAGCCTCCAACATTCATTCTGTTGGAAGTGACACCCATTGGAAAGGATAACATCAAGCTGGAGGATCCATAGAGCTCCTGTTGTTAATGGAGAAGATACACAGATGTTGGTGTGAACTTGTCTAGGTTACGGACTTCTTATATGGTGTTAGCCCTTAACAGATTTTCTTAACTTTCTTAAGTCAGTCACATAGATCACTGAAGTAAAACTCAATAAAATTAAGAGTCAATTGTTGGATGTCTTATTAGTTCTATAGTTTTAATGGCCTAAATAAGTTAGCAGCTCTAGAATTTGGGTTCTAAGTAAAGGGACTTTAAGAGGAACAGTTAAGAATGGGAGCTGCAGTGGAATAAAGGGAGAAGTACACTGAAAAAAGTCTGAAATAAGCAGCAGACTTAAGAAGATATTTATCCAGGGAACCCCTTTTCATTGGCCACAGCTGTATTACCTCTTTGGCCTCCTATTCACTGTACTTGTTTGTTTTCAGGGTTGGTTCACTTGCTAAACTCTGACATAGAAGTTCCTTGTTTATGATTCAGATACTGGCATTTTACCAGGCCTAGCAGATCTGGCTACAAAGAGTTCCTATGTCAAAGGCACAAGTACAAACCAGGATGCATGCTGATTTGGTGATTATTATATCTATTTCCACTATATTGTTCACAGCTTTCTTGACTATCCAGCCTTAAAGCTTTGAAGGTACATGTGTCACCTTCCACTGTGCATCTGCAGCCATGGTTTTACTGAGGCAATCTAATTTTAAAGACCAAGAAACGCCACCCAGAATCGGTTTCATGGCCTGCAGCTTGAAATAGAAGTTATCATTCTTTTAGCAAATATTTATTAAGTATCTGCTTGATATGGTTTGGATATTTGGTCCACTCATCTCACGTTGAAGCCTGCTGGGTGGTGTTTGGGCATGGGGATGGATTCCTCACGGTTTGGTACAGTCTTCACGACAATGAGTGAACTCTCATGAGATCTAGTTGTTTAAAAGTGTGCAGCACGTCCCTCCACTTTCTTTCTTGCTCCTGCTCCTGCCATGTGACATACCTGCTCCCTTTTCATCTTCTGCCATGACTGTAATTTCCTGAGGCCTCTGTGGGAGCTGACCAGATGCTAGCACTATACTTGTATAGCCTGCAGAACCATAAGCCAATTAAACGTTTCTTTATAAGCTACCCAGTCTCAGGTATTTCTTTATAGCAATGCAAGAATGGCTGAATACACTGCTATATGACAAGCATATGCTAAGCATGGGAGCATAACAATGAATTAAACATGTCTGAAAATATATCTCGACTTCAAGCCTTTCTCTAAATGCCCAAATTAAAACAAAATATTACAGGGATAACCTGAATTTCCCACACTCTACTTTCCTGTCAAATTTGGACATTTAGACTATACATTTATAATACTAAATGGTTGTTCGAAGAAATTCTCAAGATAAGAATTAATTTAAGGCAAATAAAAAGCTCTAATGTCGTTTTTAAAATACTGGCTTATACTGGGGCAGATTTTAAAAATTTCAAGTTACAGAAAATTTTTTCAAGGCTGCTACACATCCTTTATCTTTATTATAATATAACATTACTTGAAGATTTTATAAATGTGTTAACTCCTCTTTACTTGAATTTATGTGAATACAACTCTTTGAGACTTTCAAAATCACATCATGACTTACAAATGAGAATTTGTTCTTTTAAGTGAGTATGAAATGCTTTCTGTGATTGTTAAATCAACCCTATAGTTTAGTACTTGAGGACCCCCAATTTAAAAACATTCAAACA